GGCTTCTCATTTGCACTGAGTGTTGTTTTAGCCTCTTTTTTGTTTGTCTTCCATTATATGTTGCTAATCCAGATTTACCTTCTTTCTCCGGCTGTTCCTTTTTTCCCTCTCTCCCTTTACTGTTAAGTTTTTTAGGCAAGTGTGTGTGTGTTATAAGGAAATACAAAATAACTGTTTTCTGTCAGTATACCAAGCATTCGGTTGTGGAAATAAAATAATACAAAAGAAAAAGGAATTATATATTAGTTTTAATTAGATATGTAGTTGTATTTGTGATAGACCTAAATTATCTGCTCTTTGTACCTTCTTCTTTACCAATCACTTTTTACCTAGGTGCTTTACTAATCTTTGTTTTAAAATCTCTTTAAGAAAATAGTTTGCCTTTCTCCTTATTCCCTTCCTCTTGTCTAATAATAGTGTCCCTTCTACTTTATTTTTCTTAGAGTCCATATATTCAGGAGAATATATAATATTTGTCTTTCTGAGCCCAGTTTATTTTGCTCAACATGGTGGTCTTCAGAGCCAAACTCCCCCGCTTTTTTTGTAAATGACAGAATTAATTTATTTCTTTCTTATGGCTAAATAGCACTCCATTACATATACAACATTTTCTTTATACATTCATCTTGATGGGCATGTAAGCTGGTTCCATACCCCTGTGTGAGTTGTGCTGGTGTGAGTTGTGCCACGATAAACATGAGTATGTAGGTCTATCCCTGTGGTATGCTGACTTTAATTGCTTCAAGTACATGCCAAGGAGGAGTATAGCTAAGTCATGTGGTATTGTTAGTTTTTTGAGGAACCTCCAACAATGTAGAAGTGTTCATTTTCTGCTCACATCTTTGCTAGCATAATATGTTTTGTACTTTTTGATGATGGCCATTCTGACTGGGATGAGATGGAATCAGAGCATAGTTTTCATTTATATTTCTGTACTGGCTAAAGATGATGAACATTTTTTTCATATACTTACTTGCTGTTTGTACTTCTTTTGAGAAGTGTCTGTTAACTTCATTTATCTATTTATTGATTGGACTATTTAATTTTTTAGTATTTAGATTTTTGGATTCTTTATATATTCTGGTTATTAATCCTGTCAGAATAACCAGCAAAGATTTTCACCCATTCTAGTAAGCTGTTTCTTACTCTGTTGGTGGTTTCTCTTGCTGAGCAGAAACGTTTTAGTTTGATGTAGTCCCATTTGTTGATTCTTGATACTTTTCATGCTATGAGTCCTATTCAGGAAGTCTTTTTTTCTTGAGACAGGGTCTCACTATGTAGTTCAGGCTGGCTTTGAACTCACTATGTAGCCCAGACTAGCCTCAAACTCACACTGATCCTCCTATCTCAGCCTCTGGAGGAGTGCTGAGATTACAGGTGTGTGCCCCCATGCCCAGTAGGAAGTCTTTGCCTGTGTTTATGGTTTCATGTGTTTTCCCCATGTTTTCTTCTAGCAGTTCCAAGGTCTTATATCTAAGCCTCTGACCCATTTTGATTTGGTTTTTGTATGAGGTAAGAGGTAAGGTTGCAAGTTTGGTCTTCTACATAAGGTGGATACCCAGTTTTCCCAACACCACTTTTTAAACTCAGAATGATCCCAGCCTGACTTCAAACTTGCAGTGATCCTTCTGTGTTAGCCTACCACGTGCTGGGAGTACAGGCATGCGCCTCCATGGCTGGATTCTATTTATAATTTTTAAAAGCATGATTGAATTGGATGTGGTGGTGTACACCTATAATTCCAGCACTCAGGAGGCTAAGGCAGGAAGATTGTAAATTTGAGCCTATCCTGGGCAATATGGCAAGACCCTGTCTCAAAATTTTAAAAGGGCTGGGGATGTAGCTCAGTGTAAAAGCCCTGGTTCAACTCCCCAGTACTACACTCCCCAAAAATTCACTTACCGTGTAATTCATCATTTTAAATGTACAATTCAGTGGTTTTGAGTGTACTAACAGATATGTGAAGCCATCACTATAATTGTAGAACATGTTTGTCACTCCAAAAAGAAATTTCATACCCTTACCCCTCTATTCTCCCTCCTGAGCAACCACCAGTCTGTCTCTATAAATTGTTCTGTTCTGGACATTTCATAGAAATGGGCTCTTCGAAGATGTGACCTTCTGTAACTGGACTCTCACTTAGCATGTCTTCAGGTTTCATCCAAGTTACAGCAAATATCAGTTTCTTTTTATGGACATATATTCCATTGTAGGAGTCTTATTGATATATTTAGGTTTTTTGCAACAAAGTCTCACTTTGTAGTTTAGGCTGGCCTTGAGCTTACTACAGCCCAGTCTGGCCTTGAACTCAGTTTGTAGCCTAGGCTGGCCTTGGACTCACAGCAATCCTCCCCCTCAGCCTCCCAAGTGCTAGGAGTATAGGCGTGCACCACCACACCCCAACGAGTCACATTTTATTGATACACTCATCAGCTCTTTGTTATTTTAGTTGTTTCTTTTTTTGATTGTGAATAATGCTGCTATAGGCATTCTTGTGAGAAGTACTTGTGTGCACGTGTGTTCTCATTTTGCTTGGTTATATAAACATATAGAGAATCTATATCTTATAGTTAACTCTCTGTCTAATCATTTAAGGAACTGCCAGAATATTTCCAAAGCACTTGTACCAGTTTATATTCCCACCAGCATTCAGATTTCTCCACATCCTTGTCAATGCTTGTTATATGTCTTTTTGAATTTTTTTTTTTTTAGGGTCTCACTATGAAACTCAAGTTGGTTTTGAACTCACAGGAATCCTCTTGCCTCAGCTTCCATCCAGAGTGCTGGGACTATGGGCATGTGCTTACCATGCCTGGCTTTTTTATTTTAGTCATCTTAATGAATATGCAGTAGTATCTCATCAAGGGTTTGATTTATATTTCCATACTATCAAACATCTTTCATGTACTTATTGGCTATTTATATTTCTTCTTGGGAGAAATGTCTAGTATTTTAGATGATTGTCTCATTTTAAAAATTGGGTTGTCTTTGAATTGCAGGAGGTCCTTATATATTGTGGATGCCAGTTCATCTTGTGGATATTTTCTCCCATTTTGTAAATTTTCTTTTCATCTTTTTGATGTTATCCTTTGGAGCACAAAAGTTCTTAATCTTCATGAAGTCCAATTTATCTTTTTTTTTTTTATGATGGTATATGATGCTTTTGGTGCCATATATAAGAATTCTCTGCCACGTTGAAGGTCATTAAGATTTGGCATCATATTTTCTTCTCTAAGAATTTTATAGCATTGGGTTTTTCATTTGTTAGCTCTTTGATCCTTTTGACTTAATTTTTTTGTACAATATAATGTAAAGGTCTGACTTCATTCTTTTGCATGCAGATTTTCAGTTCCCTAGCAGTATTTGTTAAAAAAACCAATTCTTTCTCTATTGGTGGTCTTGGCTTCTTCTTGAAAATCAAATACTTGTAGATAGTAGGTTTACAACCTTATTTGAGGCATAGTCTTGGGGATTGAACCCATAGTCTTCACAATGAACTATATCCCAGCATGAACCCGTCCCTTTTTTGTCCCCCATCCATTTTTTGACACAGGTATTTGATAAGTTATTGAGTTACCTAGTCCGGGCTCAAACCTAGAATCCTTCTGCCTCAGCCTCGCAGAGTGCTGAGATTACAGTTGTGCACCACCATGCCTCATTTAGATTTGTATTTTTTAAATAGCAAAACTATCATTCAGTCAGGTGTAGTGGTGCATACCTGTTATCCCAGCACATTGGAGGCTGAAGCAGGATGATCACTGAGCTTAAGGCCAACCTAGGCTACAAAGTGAGTTCCAGGCCAGTATGAACTACATAGAGATAACCTGTCTTAAAAAAAGAAAAAACACAAAAAAACAAAACCAAAAAACTGTAATTTAGCTTTCTTACTGTTTGAATTGCTTTTTCACAAATAAATTTGTTGTTACCTGGGTTTGATTTTGGTTTTGTTTCTGGAAACAGGAATCAAACTCAGGGCCTTGCACTTGGCTAGGCAGGCACTGCTGAGCTATACACCAGGCCCTAAATAATTCTATTGTAAGGGAAGATGATGTTTATTTTTAAGTAGGCTTTTGAGGCATCACTATATAATTGTAGTACTACATCAAGGATCCACTAGAAACTCAGCCTGGAAATACAGCATATAAAACACTTGTTCTAATCATGAGTATTACTTGGAAAGCCATGTTTCTTTCATTGACAGTAACATTTTGGTTTCTGTTATGTTAATGTTTCTTTAGTGCCAGGTGCTATACTATTACAGGACTTTTGGGAAGACAAAGATGATGGTCTCTTTCTGAAATTTCTGATGATTTATAAGATACTGGGAACATAGAGAAGGAGTAAAATGACATGGCAGTATCTGTGGATTTTTGTGGGCGTTTGTGTTTTTTTGAGGGATGGTCCATAGAGATGGTATCTTCAATGTATATAAGTTGTACAGTTATATTTACCTAGTATACTGTTTTTAGTATTGCATTTTTAAAAAAATTAATCTGAGCTAGGCATCGTGGCACATACCTGTAATCCCAGCACTCGGGAAGCTGAGGCAGGAGGATCATTGTGAGTTCGAGACCAGCCTGGGCTACAGAGTGAGCTCAAGGCCAGCCTGAACTGCATAGCAAGACCCTGTCTCAAAAAGACAAAAAAATAAAAAATAAAATTAAAAATCAAGCATTTTCTTGAGACCAAAATTCTTGAATTGAAATTATTTATTCTCTAAACCTCCAAATTAAGTTAGGAGTGCTATGTGTGCTGTTGGAAAGAAATGAATGATAAAGACTATTGAGTAATTTAATGCTTTTTGTAAAGCATTTTTAAGTTGATTTTGTAAACCTTAGGTAAAGTCCAGTATTGACCACAAAATTGCCATCACTAATTAAATAATGCCATCACATTCTTTCAGTATTGGAAGCACTTTCATGTTAATTGAAAGCATTTTTCACTAATGAACTGTTCTCTCTTAAAATCACTTTGTATAACTTCATGTTCTTTTTCTTTAGGAGTCTCAGCAGTCCAGTTTTGGCCCGGGAGAACAAAGTGAGTATTTGTTTTCCTTTCAGTTTTCAAATTAAGTGGTTAATTGAGCATATGGGGTACTCCTCAGATTATTTTAGTAATTCTTTTCTGAGTTATCATAATTACATGATTTGATAAATAGTAATTGCTTCTTTAAAAAATAGGAACTGTTGGTCATAAGAGATCAAAGTAAACTTTTTATTTGAACTCATAGTTGAAAGTTTATAAATTCAACTTTAGGGGCAGCTCATCAACTCAGGAACCATAGTTCTGTCTTTCCACTTCCTTGAAGATAACTTGGTTTTGTTATGGTAAAACTGTAGGCAAGAAGAGGTTATTTTAGCTACCCATGACTCTGTTCTTCCTATCTCTATGTATTCCCTGCTCTTCCTGTGTCTTATGGTCTGGATAGAAAATCTACGGTGTTATACAACCCTACTTTCACCTCAGCCATTGACCTTACTAGAACAACTGGGAATTTACATGTGATCCCAAGAGATGTGTAGATTGGTGGTACTGAAGTCAGGGACCATCACAAATGTCTGAACTTTACCCTAAAGCCCTGTAACAAAAGTTCTTTTGCCAAGAGAAACCACTTTTTAAATAATTTAGATTTATACTGCTTTTAAGGTATTATGAGAGATAAAAATACGGGATTTTTTTGATCCTTTGCTAGTTATTGTTAGTGAACTTAATGCACAGATATGGAACTAGCTTTATTGCTTAATATTAAACTTTCTATATCTGTATAACCATTTTAGTTCTGCTTTGTAGTTGTAAGTAAAGGAAAAAGGGACCTGACATTGTTGATATGTACAAAAATTTTGCTCTTCTAAGAATGTCTCAGGCTGGGTGTGGTGGTGCATGCCTGTAATACCAGCACTTGGGAGGCTGAGGCAGGAGGATTGTTGTGAGTTTGAGACTAGCCTGGGCTACAAAGTGAGCTCAAGGCCAACCTGAAGTGCATGTTGAGACCCTGTCTCAAAAAAAAAAAAAGAATGTCTCATCTGGCTGGGTATGGTAGCGCACACCTATAATCCCAGCAAGCAGGAGGCTGAGGCAAGAGGATTGTTGTGAGTTCGAGGCCAGCCTGGGCTACATAGTGAGTTCAAGGCCAACCTGCATAGCAAGGTCTTGTCTTAAAAAAAAGTCTCATCTTTGTTCTATTCCACCTCATTCTCTCTTCCTGAAGCTGTGTCAAAGAAGATCATAAGCTGCGTCTACTCTTTGTGATCTTGTTTTGTTTTAAAATTGTATTACTCTTAGTATAAAAGCTCTGTTCATTCTTTCTAACACTAAAATTGTCTTGAATGAAGGATCATAATTTTTATTTACCAGTCCTCTACTGACGAACATTTATTTCAGCTTTTGCTGTTAAAAACGGTTCTGTGTGTGTTTGTTCCCCTAGATACATCTATAAAATAGATTTCTTTTGTTGAAATAGGTCAGTAATGGTATGGGTACATTATTGATGAGATTAGATGACCAGATTGACCTCCAAGAAAATTGAGATTGTATGAGTTTACAGTCCTACTAGCAGCATACAGGCATACCTGTTTTCCTCATACTCACCGTGTCATATTATTCAATTTCAGTGTGTTGCCATTTTGATGGATGCGGAATTATATCCCATTGTTTTAACTTATATTTTATTGAGAGTAGATACTTTGATTGATGTTCTATAATCTTAAATATTCAACCTCACTTATTTCTGCGTTCTTTTTGTTCTAGAAAGATATAATCCTGCTAAAACTTCAAATGGCCACCAGTCTAAATCGTAAGTTTATTGCTTAACGTTTGTCTGTTTTGCTAAAAGCTATCTATAATATGGATTGTTTCAAATAATAATTAGCATATTCTTTGTGTGTGTGTGTGTGTGTGTGTGGCATTGAAGATTGATCCCAGGCCCTTGCGCATGTTAAAGCATGTACTTTACCACTGAGTTACATCCCTAGGCAGAAATACCTTTAAGGCAGGAGTAGACAAATTTTTATGTAACAGGGCCAGATAATGAAAGTTTTCAGTTTTCACAACCACATGGCCTCTGTCCTGTGTACTCAGTTCTGTGATTGTAGTATAAAAACTGCCATAGCCCATGAGTGTGGGTGTGTTCCAATAAAACTTTCTTTAGAAAACTGATGGGCTAGATGTGCCTTGTGGGCCATAATTTGCCTAGCCTTGAAGTGAGATCATGGATTTTTTTCTCATCTCTCAGAGAAGTGTGTTTGCGGGAATATTTTGGATAAACTCTTCATTTTGCTTCTAAGTGTTGTATGTTGAGGGAATGCAAGTTGTACTACCTTTAAGTTTTCCCTTTTTGGAAGGGGAAGTGGTGTGCTACTGGGGATGGAACACAGGGCCTTTGCACTGAGCTACATAGATCCTCATTCCTTTTTATTTTGAGACATGGTCTTGCTGTGTTGCTTGGGTTGAGTTTGAACTTGAGATCCTCTTACCTACTGAGTAGCTGAGGTTGCAGGCATATGCCATCACTCAAGGTTAAATTTGCCAGTTTTTATTTTGTGGTCAGAACCAAGAACATATATCAAAATGTAATAAGGGGTGGGAGTGGTGGTGCATTCCTGTAATTGTAATTATTACAGAGGCTGAGATAGAAGGATCACAACTCAGGCTAGTCAGGGCAACTTAGTGAGACCTTGTCTCAAAATGAAAAAGGACTGGGTATATAATTTTGTGTTGCCTGGGTTCCATTCCCAGCTCTGCAAACAAGTAATAAAAAGTAATATAGTAGTGTATTGGATGCTAAAGTAATAGGATAGTGTATTGGATTGTAGTAAGTTCTAGTTTAAGGAGTGAATATGTGAACTCATGAGACCACAAGTTAACTCAGCTTTTAAAACAAAATTCTGAAGAAACTGTAACTTGAGGGAAGAGGGAGGCAGAGGAGGGGAAGGGGTAGTAGAAAGAATTAAGATGTGTTTTATACATGTACCAGCTCCCCATGATGAATGTGATTATGATGTACTGCAAACATGGACTAATAAAAAAAAACCTGTGGCCACAGTGCCAACTTTTTATGCCATAGTCACAAATGACACTGATTATCTCTACCTGATGTCCTCTTTAGCTGGACAAGGGAGGACTAAGTGAGAATGAACATACGTGAATGTAAGAGGCTTCCCCTTGGGCTGGGGAAGTAGCTCAGTGGTAGAGTGTTTCCCCGGCATGTACAAGGTCCTGGGTTCAAACCCCTGCACCAAAAAAACAGAGAGAGAAGCAGCTTCTCCCTACACTGCAGAAGAATTCAGATTATATTTTTATTTATTATATTTATATCAAAGAACTGATTCATGACTACCATGGTCTCACTTTAGTTGCTGAGGGAGCAATAGCATGCAGGACATCGAACAGCCTAGTAAAAGCTTTGACATGCTGTATTCATATATGTAAACAGGTCATTGAGCTGCCATTGTTAAATCATAAGGGCTGAAAGAATTCAGAATGAGTACACTTCCTTACAGAAAGTCATAAAGATGCACTAAACCCTTCCCCAAAACAAAACTCCAGCCAGGTGTGGTGGCACACACCTGTTATCCCAGCACTTGGGAGGCTGAGTCAGGAGGTTTGCTGTGAGTTTGAAGACACTCTGGCTCCATAGTGAGTTCAAGGCCACCCTGAACCCACATAGTGAGACCCTATCTCAAAAACAAAAAGCACCAAAGACAAAACTCCTTTTTCCTATCCCGTTTATGCCAGTCTTAAAACAGTTTTTATTATTATGTAATGATAGTTATTTTATTTCAAGGGGACATTTTGTGTAATAATTGGAACTTTGGATCGGACTTAGAAAAGTAGATTGAGCTTTGAGGGGAAATTACAAATGGTTATTAGAATGAAAGAAGACTTCTGTCCCACTGATTGGACACTTGCGAAATTGTAAAAAGAAAGATAGAGTAGAACCCACTGGTAATGAGTAGTTAAACATCTTTCTAATGCAGTTGGTTCTCCCTAAACTTTGTGGGTTTTTTCTGTCATAAAAAGACAGAGTGTTTTGTAGGTTGTAATGCAGATTTAAGGTTCAGTGGTTTTGATTTTATGGTCTTAAGGAAATCTTCAGTCTTTAATTTTACTTTTCAAAACAAATTCCAGAAAATAGCAGCCTATGATATTTATGTGTATTTTTTTAATTTGATTTGAAATTTGACCAAGGAAGATTTGGAACCTGAAGATTTAAAAATTCATATTTGGTCATTTTGCATGTTTACAAAAACCACTTGTCTTTCTTTTTTGGTTTTTCTCCGGTACCAGGAACCGAACTCACGACCTTGCGCTTGCCAGGCAGGTGCTTTTGCCGCTGAGCTAAATCCCCAGCCCCCCACTTGTCTTTCATACTAAGGTGTTTATTGACTGAGGAAATGGTGGTGTTCTGCTTTTCACATTTATCCCATTGCCAATGGCTGTATAAATCTTAGAAAATCGCTTGATGCTTACATTTTATCTTGCTTTACTTAGGAGTTACATTTCCTTAGTGGACTGTTGTGTATGGCTCTTAATTTGTTTTAATGATACAATGGTGTATGCATGCATTTGTTTGTTGGTTGGTTGGTTTGTTTTTGAGACAGGGTCTCACTATGCAGTTCAGGCTGGCCTTGAGCTAACTTTGTAACCCAGACTAGTCTCAAACTCACAACAATCCTCCTGCCTCAGCCTCCTGAGTGCTGGCTACACCCGGCTGTATCCATGTATTTAGAGAAAAGTTAGTGATAACAGAAATGCATAGGAGATTTATAGGAAGTAGCTTGTTACTTGGAAAAGAAAGTGAATATTTCACCCATGGTTAGAGCTTATGAAATAAATTCTTCTTTTCTCAGTTTTCTGTTTGTTGATTTGTTTTTTCATTAAATCTTTGGCCATCAGAGTGATTATTTCTAGTATTATGGATAGGTATTAATACTTCGGCATGCCATGATAAACTTCCAGAAATAATAACCCTTTCTGCCTTTTCTCTCTAGTATGTTAAAAGATGACTTAAAACTAAGCAGCAGTGAAGACAGTGATGGGGAACAGGTAGGTCTACTGTAAAATTTCCCCATCTCATACAGTATTTGTTTTCATTTTCTTCATAAAAATTATAATTGAATAATAACATTTATGAGCCAGTTTGAAATAAGTTCTTTTATAAGTTCTTTCTGACACTGAAATGTTAGTTTTCCACACTGTCAGTAAATCTTCATTTTTTTCCCTTGTTTTTATTTTTTGTTTTTTTTTCCGGTACCGGGAATCAAACTCACGATCTTGCGCTAACTTTGTAACCCACAGCGCCAGGCAGGCGCTGTGCCACTGAGCTAAATCCCCAGCCCCTTCCCTTGTTTTTAAAAAACGAACTTTTCTTTATGAAGCAGGAGATTGACAAGAAATACTAACAAAGCTTTTTAATGTAGGTGCTTGACTCAGTGAACCTTTAAGTAAAAACAGTATATTAAGTAAACAATTCTTACATTAGCAGTTTTTTAATTAAGAAAGTTCAGATACTGTTTGCATTAAACAAAGAGTACTATTTATTCATTCACAGATTTCTTTCTTTTGCTTTAATTTTAGGATTGTGATAAAACAATGCCAAGAAGTACACCAGGAAGGTGAGCATCTTTTGTTTGGAGGGGTAAGATCAGTCTGATTAACATTGTTAGTGATATAATAAATGGCTTTATAAAATAAATACTAGCGGTTAGAATGGTGGTTTTAGAATTCTTTTAAGTTAATACTTAAAACTAGGTTTTTAAAAATCATCTAATTAGACACTCTAACTGGGTGAATTTATGATATGTAAATTAGACCCCAAACTGATTTGAAAATGAGAGTATTAGTAGCTGAGTAGCACATTAAAAACTTGTTTAGGGAAGTGTTTATTTCACTTATAAGGAAGTTTTAGGTTCATTGAATTGTAATAGCATAGGCAGAACATTGTAAAGGAAGTTGTTTGTCAGGTTTGGATGATTTTCTATTGTCATTGTAAAAGAAATTTTTCATCATTTATATGTTACCTCCTTTAGCAACTCTGAACCTTCACATCATAATAGCGAAGGAGCAGATAATTCCAGGGATGATTCTAGCAGCCACAGTGGATCTGAAAGCAGCTCTGGATCTGACTCAGAAAGTGAAAGTAGTTCCAGTGACAGTGAGGCAAATGAGCCATCCCAGAGTGCCTCTCCTGAGGTAAGAGGGCAGGGGGCAGGGCTGCCTTCCGTGGCCCACTCTGGGCTGTTGGCAACATCTTGCTGGGATTTCTTGAAATGTAAAAGGTGAAGGAAAAAAAAATAACATATTTTGACAAAAGGCATTTGAATTGTACATCTTAAAGAAAATCTGAATACTTCATTTTCTTTATTTGAAACATTTTTCCTAGATTAGTAACTACTTAAGGTCATATTATGGGTCACTAAAATATTAGATATGAGATAAAGGATGCTCAAGATTGAACCCAGGGCTTCATGTTTACTAAGTAAATAGTTTACCACTGAGTTACATCCCCAGACCCAAATATTAGATTTCTTTAGTCTTGTCTTTTGTGTCAGTATAGCAATTCACATTACATTGTTATTGTGGACAAAACGAGTCTTATATAGTGTAATTTTATTGTAGCTTAAAATGTGGTTTAAAAATCTTTTTTTCTTTTTGCCAAGTATCATGGCACACACCTGTAATACCAGCACTTTGGAAGCCTGAGGCAGAGGATTGCAAATTCAAGCCTCGCCTGGGTAGTTTACTAACTTAGCAAGACCCTGCCACAAAAGAAAGCTAAAAAAGGAGGAGAGGCTAGAGGTATAAGCCAGTGCCAAGACCCTGGGTTCAATCTCCAGTAAGGGAGAGGAAGTTAAAAATCTCTCTTGGTACATATATTATTTATTTTCTAGAATTAAATATATTATATGATCATTTGTGATAATGCCTTTACAATTGTATTCCTGACAATTGTGTGACAGGGTTGTTTGCTATTTAAAGGCCATATGTAAAAGAAAGCTTATCTTCTAATTCAAGTTATTAGAGCTAATAATCTTTCACTCTGTTCTTTAGTCCAGTCAGAACCTTTAAAAACAAATATTCTTATTGCATTAGGCACTGTACTTTTCCTATTCCTTGATATTATAAAGGAGAAGGTGTCAATTTTAAAAGAAAAATAATAAGTATTTCTCTTTTTCAGCCTGAACCACCACCAACAAACAAATGGCAACTTGATAATTGGTTGAATAAAGTAAACCCACATAAAGTTTCACCAGCTTCTTCTGTAGATAGTAACATTCCATCATCTCAAGGCTACAAAAAAGAAGGCCGTGAGCAGGTTACTGGGAATAGCTACTCTGACCCAACTGGGCCTAAAGAATCGAGTTCTGCTACTCCTGGGCGAGACTCCAAAACCATCCAAAAGGGATCAGAAAGTGGGCGCGGGAGGCAGAAGTCTCCTGCACAGAGTGATAGCACAACACAGAGGAGAACTGTAGGCAAAAAACAACCCAAAAAAGCTGAGAAGGCAGCTGCTGAAGAGCCTCGGGGTGGCCTGAAGATAGAAAGTGAAACCCCCGTAGACATGGCTACCAGTATGCCCTCCAGCAGACACAAAGCAGCCACCAAAGGCTCAAGGAAACCCAATATAAAAAAGGAATCCAAATCTTCCCCTCGACCTACAGCAGAAAAAAAGAAATACAAGTCAACAAGTAAATCTTCCCAGAAATCAAGGGAAATCATAGAAACAGATACCTCGTCCTCAGATTCAGATGAAAGTGAAAGCCTTCCTCCGTCCTCACAAACTCCTAAGTACCCTGACAGCAACAGGACTCCCGTGAAACCCTCCTCCGTGGAGGAAGAAGATAGTTTTTTCCGGCAACGAATGTTCTCTCCTATGGAAGAGAAGGAACTCCTTTCACCCCTCAGTGAGCCTGATGACAGGTATCCACTTATTGTGAAGATAGACTTGAATCTCTTGACCAGAATACCAGGAAAGCCTTACAAAGAAACAGAACCACCTAAGGGGGAAAAGAAAAATGTGCCAGAAAAGCACACAAGAGAGGCTCAGAAGCAAACCTCAGAAAAAATTTCCAATAAAGGAAAGAGGAAGCATAAGGTTTGTAAAAATGGTTGTGATTTTCATTTTTAAATATCTTTGTTTGAAATGCTATGGAAATCTCAGAAAGTAGGTCTTGAGTTAATGAGAAAAAATAGTGGGATAAGCCCAAGGCCCAATTGAGACTACATATAGAGCAGACTTGTGAGGATTTCTGTACTGGTTTTGTGGTTTGTTTTTTTTGTTTTTTTTTTTTTGTCCTTTTTGAGACAGGGTCTCACTGTGCAGTTCAGACTGGCCTTGAGCTCACTTTGTAGCCTAGGCTGGTCTTGAACTCGCAACGATCCTCCTGCCTCAGCCTCCTGAGTGCTGGGATTACAGGTGTGTGCCACCATGCCCGGCTGTGCTGTCTCTTTCAGTAAAGCAGAATAGTTTTCAACTAAATAAGCCATGAGCCAGTCACTTCTATTGATAATGTATGATGGCCAGGATAGAAGTGGGAGTGGAGTAAGGCTATAAATTCGTATTTGCAACATTCTTAAAAATGTGGTTTGTGTGGTTCTAGTTGGGATACAACACCTACCATTCTTTTCTACTTATACCTAGACCAAATCACATTTTATAGATTACTGGTTAAAATCCAGCTAAAAATAATTAATTCATAATATTGATATACTCTTGATAGTTTTACCTACCTACTGCACACATTTGTGCCTAGCTTTTTTCCTTTAAAGTTCAGAACTAAAAACATCTGCTGGGGCTGGAGGCTTAGCTAGTGGTGGAGCACTTGTTCCATCATGTGTGAGGTCGGGGGGTAATCCTGAGCACCATGGGGAGGAACCCTGCTAGACATTGTAAACCCTCATTTCTAAATACTTCCAAGATAATTTAGAGACAAAGCTTGGTATATTTTTAAGGTTAGCTTTTTATAGACCCAGGAAATGAGAAAACTGATATCTAAGATTTAAGGGTAACAGTCATATAGACATGCCAAACCTCTGTGGCATTTGCCAGTAATCCCAACTACTCAGGGACTGAGGCAAGAGATTTGAAAATTAGAGGCCAGCCTGGACAACATAGCCATATCTCATCTCAAAAATAAGATAATAAAATAAATGTAAAATCCTTCCTATTCTGTTTAAATTGCTTTTTTTTTTTCCCTTTATATTTGGTATTTTTACTTAAAGCCTTAGTTCCTAACTTTTGTTTTAAATATAGTCATGCTGTCATAGTGGAAATGCTGGATGTCAAATATGCCGAGTTTGTATTCCCCCAAAGTTGAAGAATAAATTCTAAGGAGCAACAGAGGTGAAGAGTAGGAAAAGTTATTGGAGAAAAGGAATGGTAAATTATAATGGGGTAATAGGGAATAGGAGTAGCTCCTGAGAGACAGGAGGGATCCTGAATAGGTTGCCTGTTTAAAAAATTTCTTACTATGTATATGTAACTTGTAATTCTTCCTCGAAAAGAAGTGCCCTATATCTTCCTCTGCCTCATGTCTCGTTAGCATATATTCCTCCAGAGTGTTTTATGTCAGTATTTGTAAGTCAGATTTTAATTTTATAAAGTATATAACTCCAGTAAACCTGATTATGATTTTTGAAACACATGGTTATAATAAAGTGTTGGGGCAGTTCCTGGAGATAAAGCAAGTAGAACTGAGAGGAGACATAATCCAAGGCAATAAAGGTTGTAAACCGTGTTTTCTGATTTCTTCATTTGTGCCTCTTCAATCATTTGTATAGGGGAACAGACTCATTTCTTACGACAGAATATTTATGTTTTTGTGCCCTGGTATTTGAAGCAATAGGGAAACTTAGATGTACCTACAAAAGTTATATCGATCACTTACGTTGTTAACCAGTAAGATTTTTAAAACTCCTGGGCTTGGCTATACTGAAAAGCTGAGACTGTAATAAATGCTAGTGAAAATATAGAAGGGTAGGGACTTCAGTACAGTGCCGGTAGGAATATGAGCTAGTGTAGCTGCTTTATAGAGTACAGTGCAGTTCTGCAAAACATTAAACAGAATTACCTTATGATTTAGTCACTTTCTTCGTTGCTGAGACACAATACCCAATACTTGCAGTTTAAAGGAAGGGAGGTTTATTGTGCCTTGCATTTCCAGTTCATAGTTTACTGGTTCCAAGTCAGAATGGCATGGCAGAGGGCCATAGACAGAAGAGGAATAGCTGTTCACCTCATAGCAGCAAGAAAGCAGAACTTGCTGAGAGAAAGTGAAGGAAAGAGCTGGGAAAGGAGATAGCTCATTCCAGGTCACACACCAGTGTCTTGCCTCTTCTGATCAGACCCCACCTCCTCACAAGTTGGCTATAATTGCCCCAGTGGTCCAATCACCTTCCCATCTGTGAGCACAAAGGCTCTTGGGCAGACGTGTAGTTACAAACCATAGCATCTTACCTAGCATTTGTACTTCTAGGTGTTTACCCAAGAGAAATAAAAATATAAACAGAAATTGTGTGCTCAAATGTTTGTAGCACCATTATTTATATTAGCTAAAAAGTCAAGTCGAATGGTTCTGAACTGCTGAATAGATCAAGATTAGTATATCCATTATTGGGCCATAAATATAAGTGAAATATTGACCTATACCACAAAATGAATGGACCTTGCGAAAAGTTTACACTAAATGAAAGCAGACACAAAAGGCCATGCATATTGTGATTCCATTTCTGCTTAATATCTAGAATATAACATCTAGAACCCACAAAGACAAATTGTATAGATTAATGGTTGCCGGGGTCTGTGGGGAGGAGGAATGGGGGAATAATGTTTATAGAGTGTCTTTTTAGAATGATGAAAATGTGCTAAAATTGATTGTAGTGATGGTTCTACAACTGTGACTATACCAAATGCCATAAAATTATGTACTGTTTCTTTTGTCTGTTTGTTTTTTTGAGACAGGGTCTTGTTATATGCAAGATGGGCTTGAACTCACTAATGTAGCCTAAGCTGGCCTTGAACCCACAGCACTCCTCCTATCTCAGCCACCCGAATTCTGGGATTGCAGATGTACACCACCACACAGATGCAAGTAGGGAGTAGAATTGTGTGTTCTTAAAATTTTATATGAGTTATATATTAATTATAAGTTTATGGAATACCATTTCCTTTAAAATCATTACCTAAGAGAAAATGCCATCTAAAACTATAGGAAATCTATTTCAGTTTTTGGAGATTCTATATATCTAACATAAGGGACTTCTCTTAGCCTTAAAACCTTACTTAGGCCAGATGTGGTGGCACATGCCTGTAATCCCAGCACTTGGGAGGCTGAGTCGGGAGGATCACTGCAAGTTTGAGGCCACCCTGAACTACATAGCGAGACCCTACCTCAAAAATGAATACCTTATTGTTTAAATGAGCTCTTCTACTTCTCGTTTATCTTATTTCTGAGGTTTTATCAGGCATAAACTGGGGATTTCTAGTGGTCAAAGCTGAAGTTAGATGAAAAAAATCAGATCTAGTAGCTGCTGTTTTCCGTTTTTCATCCAGAATGAAGATGATAATCGAGCCAGTGAGAGCAAAAAACCCAAAACAGAGGACAAGAACTCATCAGGCCACAAGCCTTCCAGCAACAGAGAGTATGTCTCCCCAAAACATGTTGCCTGCCGGTGTTGTTAATATATATATGTGTATCATGTGGTACTGGATACCTTCAGACATGTTATTGCTGATACCACACGTGTGCATATGCTAAATAATGGGAGCTTTTGCGTTTATCTAGTAGGGATAGAAAGTGTTTAAGATTTACTTTTTCCTTCTTTCTTTAATAGGATAGAGGTGGGGGATGTGGATAACAGTTAAAACATCATTTTCTGGATAGATGGCAAGATTATCTATCTGTAACTTACTGGAGACTTGTTGCTAACTTGTGAACATTAATCTCTTTTTCATCACTCACCTGTTCTTTTAGTCAGTATTAAAGGCTAATTGTGTGTGACATTTATATTTTCAAAACAGCGTTTATAACTGTGGAGAAAAAGGACGAGAGAGAGGAGGGATGGGGAAAAGACAAGATGCCCTTATGGCACTTACAGCCTCACTTCACTTTACAGTAATATTTATCCCAGTAATCAAATGGGGGAAACAAGTTTTTCTCTTTTTGTGGGTACTGGGAATCAAACTCAGGACCTTAATCTTGCCATGCAGGCACTTGTGCCGCTGAGCTACTTCCCTGGCCCTAGCAAGTTTTTCTTTAGAGTTAAGGAGTTGTGCTCCTTTTTTTTTTTTTTTTTGGTTTTTCTCTGGTACCGGGAACCGAACTCACGACCTTGCGCTTGCCAGGCATTCGCTTTTGCCGCTGAGCTAAATCCCCAGCCCTAGCAAGTTTTTCTTGAAAGCAGGTAAAGGAAAGGGAAAATATCTACCCCTCCTTCCCTTATTACTATGTGGAAAAATGAAGGCAGCATTTGTTTTGTTTGGCAGGTCATCTAAGCAGACTGCTGCAAAAGAAAAGGAATTGTTACCTTCACCTGCTGGGCCTGTACCTTCAAAAGATCCAAAAACAGAGCATGGCTCTCGAAAGAGGACTATCAGTCAGTCATCTTCCTTAAAGTCAAGCAATAACAACAACAAGGAGAATAGTGGCAGCAACAAAAACAGTTCCTCCACATCAAAGCAGAAAAAAACTGAAGGGAAAACTTCCAGTAGCTCCAAGGAGGTTAAGGTACCTACCATTATCAGGAACCTGAGCTTTTCAAAAGTCACTGTCATTGTTACGTGACTTTCTCGGGGTAACACTGTGTTTTGAAGTTTTCGTTAAAAATCTCACAGGCTTGTACATTTTACTCATATTGTGTCAGAATATTGAAGGTAAATTTATGTAGTGATCTAAGATCATAAAAGCAATAACTAAGCTGTCCCCATGCCTATTAATTCAGATAGAAACTTGGAAAAATTGGTTATGACATTTTAAAAACAATCACCAAATGATTCCGGTCCAATGCTTAGATTGAGCACTTGTGTATGGTTTGTAAGTGGGTTTTGAATTTCTTGGAATTAGATTTTCCAATCAAGTTACATTACATAAAGTAACAAAGCAGGCTGGGCCTGGTGGCGCATTCCTGTAATCCCAGCACTCGGGAGGCTGAGGCAGGAGGATCGTTGAGAGTTCTAGACCAGCCTGGCCTACAAAGTGAGTTCAAGGCCAGCCTGAACTGCAGAGCAAGACCCTGTCTCAAAAAGGAAAAAAAAAAAAAAATGACAAAGCAACCACTTGACTTTGATTTTTTTTTTTTTCTTTTTTTGGTTTTTCTCCGGTACCGGGAACCGAATTCACGACCTTGCGCTTGCCAGGCAGGCGCTTTTGCCGCTGAGCTAAATCCCCAGCCCCTAAACTTTGATTCTTAAAATAGGAAAAAAGGGTTAGCTGAGCTAACTCTTGAAATTATTCCTAATTATTGTTATTCCTAACGTACACATAACATAGAAGAATATTCTTTATGTTTGTAGATGAAGATTTGGATCAGTTTTTTTCAAGGCTATTCTTCAATAGACTGTCTCCCTCAGTTACTAGGTTCTTTGCATTGCTTTCTAAATTGGTCTCATTGGGTGTAAACATATCAGACGAAATTGAAATCTAAATTTTTAAGAGTATAATTCACGGGATTATTTGTGATTTAAGTAACTAAAGTTGGAGACTTGAAAAGTCAGACTGACACAGTTGTCGTCCTTCAACCAGGCATGGTGGCACACACTTGTAATCCCAGAACTAGGGAGGTGGAGGCAGGAGGATTGCTGCAAGTTTAAGGCCAGCCTGGGCTACAAAGTGAGTTCAAGGCCAGCCTGTACTGCATAGTGAAACCCTGTGTCCAAAAGACCAAAAAACCAAACCAAAACAAAAATAACTCATCCTTATTAAACATGGTAAATTTTTAAAATTGAGGTTGTCCACATTGAGAATAACTTATCAATCTGAGATGTACATAAGGTTTTCTCCTCAGCCAGATATCTTTCTATAATAGTTTGGAGAGTTGGCCTCATGTCCCAGGGACCTAGACTTATTTTTTTGAGACAGAGTCTCACTGTGTATAGTAATATGTATTATATATAATTTTTATAGAAGAAAAATATGTTGAAATATGTAGGAAATTTTTTAGTTTCAAAAAACTTGTTTTCCTTAGGTAAGTATAAATGTAGGCATTTGTAAGACTATGTAGATATTAGTCACTTTCTCATTGCTGGGACCAAATATTTGACATACACAGCTTAAAGGATGAGAGGTTTATTTGGATCCTAGTTTCAGAGAGTTCAGTCCAAAGTTGAGTGGTTCCAAGGCAGAATTGACACTATGGAAGGGCATGGCCAAGAAGAACTGCTTCACCCATGGTAGCCAGGAAGCAAAGGGTGAGAGAGAGACCCTGCCTCTTTCAACTGGGCTCCACCACCCAACAGCACATGGGACTCTGAGCTCAGCAGTGTAAAGCCCTATGCTCCCGTCGCCTGCCAAAAGCCCACCTCTGAAAATGAGACAGTGCTCGCTTTAGCAGCATAATGTAATAAAACTGGGATGAAAACATGAGACATTTGGGAGACTTTTTTTTTTTTTTTTTTGGTCTTTTTGAGACAGAGGCTCACTGTACGGTTCAGGCTGGCCTTGAACTCACTTTGTAGCCCATGCTGACCTCAGACTCAGCAATCCTCCTGCCTCCCAAGTGCTGGGATTACAGGCATGAGCCACCATGCCCGTTGTGGGAGACATTTTAGGTCTAAACCAAAACAGTACATAAAACATAGAAGAGATATGTTACACTGCAGCATAACATTCATGAAACCATTTCACAAACGTTACCATAAAGACTAGCATTTCTCAAATTCTAGGACTTTTATTTTAATCCCTTCAAGTAAGTTATAATACTATAGATAGAACGGAAAAACTCTTACAAGACAAAATAAAATTACAACATAGCTCCTTCGAAGTAGTTTTTAAGCACAAGCGTGAGTGACACATTATCAGGTTTTTCTACTATTGAAACATGTATAGGTTGATGGGATAAATTCTACTAGTTGGGGTGTTTTACTGTAGGAAAGACAGGGCTGTATAGAAGACATTTGCAGAGAGAAGAGTGTGGGCCCTGGGGGGCTTTTAGAATCAGACAGATGAGATCAGACATCAAAAGATGTATGAATTTAGGCAGTTTACTTAGCCTCTTTGAAACTGCTTTTTTTAAAGTATAATAACGTCTATTTCATAGAGTCACTGAAGGGTTAACAACCATGCTAAGTGCTTAGTTAACTTAGTGCCTGACAAGTAACAAGTACCTAATAAACATTATTGCTGTTTTCATTGACCAGTAAATTCTTGCCCTAAGTAGCACTTTGATACGAGGTTTCCCATTTTGATACAAGGTTTATATCTTCCTTATATTTCAACAACTGCCTAGCCCAGTGCCTACCACATAGTAGATATTTTTTTTTTAATAAATGTGAGAATGAATGTTTTGGTTACATAATAAAAGTTATAAAAGTTTTATAACAGATTAATACCAAAGACAGTGGAATTTTGTTTTCATTTTAGCGGCTGAGAAAGTACTGTTTAGTTTTTAATTTCACAGTTTGCAACATACTGTATATGTATTTTTTCCTGCTTAGGAAAAGGCTCCAAATAGCTCTTCTAATTGTCCTCCATCAACACCAATTCCTGATGCTTCTAAACCTCGGAGAACGAAGCTTGCCTTTGATGACAGGTGAGATAAATATGATTTTTAAAAATGTATTTAAGGGCCAGGGATATAGCTCAGTGACACAGCGCCTGCATGGCAAGTCCAGATTCTCAGTTCAATTCCTGGTATCAGAACAACAACAACAAAAAAATGCATTTAAGAAATGACTTCAGGCCAGGTGTGGTGACACACACCTGTAATCCCAGCACTTGAAAGCTGAGGCAGGAGGATTGTTTTGAGTCGGAGGCCTCCCTGGGCTACAAAGTGAGCTCAAGGCCAGCCTGAACTGCATAGTGACACCCTGTCACACAAAAAAGAAAGGACTCCAGTCACTGATAAAAGAAACTCATTTTAATTTCGGTCACTGACCAGAGGTTTAATACTTGTGTGTGGTCCTCACAATATTTTGAGTTTAACTTGAAAGCACTCTCTAATCCTAGACCACTGCTGCTCCTTTAACTGAATTCCATGATCCTTTTGGGGGTCAAGGATGATGTGCCTTCCAGTAGGTGGTCACTGTTGCTGGTACCACTCTATTACTGTTTAAAATAGGCGTTTTCTTGGCTAAGGAAGAGCAGTGTTGTTCCCAGAATTTTTGTCAGTAGGTTATTTCTCCTACCTATGTCTTATTTACTCTTTCCTTTTTTCTAGACAGGGTCTCATTGCAGTCCAGGCCAATTTTGAACCTGCTGTGTAGCCCAGATTGGCCTCAAATTCTTAATTGTTTCGCCTTAGCCTCCCAAGTGCTGGGACTACAGACATGTGCCACTATGCCTAGCTTTTATTTATTTTTAATCTTTAAAACAACTCAAGAAAGTTAATAGTTAATATTAGGGAGCTTGAACCAGATGTAGTGGTACATACCTGTAATCCCAACTACTCAGAAACCTGAGACAGGAGGATAATAAGTTCAAGTCCAGTCTGGCTTAGTGAAACTCTGTCTCAAAATATATCTATATATCTATATCTATATCTATATCTGTATCTTATCTATCTATCTATGTATCTGTATGTATATATGGCTCAGTACAAGGCCCTAGATTCAATTCCGAGGACTGCAAAAAATGTGTACATACATACATACATTCATACATACTAGGGAGCTTGATTTCTGTTTTCCCGAGTAAAACATTTGCCATGGGTATATGTTACTATCCTGATAAAAACATTTATTTAAAAAAAAAAAAAAAAAGAATGTTTAATGATAGTTTTCTTTTCTTGAGAATATGAAAAGTGTTATTGGAGACTGAAATGAATTACAGTTACCTTAGAAAAATATTTGCTATTTTATTTACAATGAAAATTTACATTGCAGAAATTACTCAGCAGACCATTATTTACAAGAAGCAAAAAAACTAAAGCACAATGCAGATGCATTGGTATGTAAATATTCTTATGTGTTTAATCGAATTAGCTTAAATCCTCATTTGTTTATACTTACAGTGGATCACTACTTATTACTTCTATTCTCCTTTCTTTAGTCTGATAGGTTTGAGAAAGCAGTATACTACCTTGATGCTGTGGTGTCCTTTATTGAATGTGGGAATGCATTAGAGAAGAATGCTCAGGAATCCAAATCCCCATTCCCGATGTATTCAGACACAGTGGAGCTCATCAAGTAAGTGGAAAAATTTGCCACATTATTGGCAATAACATTTCTCAGGTCCATCTTGAAAGGGGTTGATACACATAAACTGAAGTGGATGTTTAACCTTTTTTATTTTCCTTGGAGAAGGACTAGATGTCTTAGTAGGTGTTTTATTTAGGTTTGATTCTAATGTTTGAGGATAAGGAAAGTCTTAAGATCAAGGGAAGTTTTTTAATTTTAAAGAGAAAAAAATTTCAAAACAAGGTAATAGGAGGGTAACAATGGTTAATACATTGAGTATTGTTATCTTTAAATTAGTTACTCATAGGGGCTGGGGATTTAGCTCAGTGGCAAAGTGCCTGCCTGACAAGCGCAAGGTCGTGAGTTCGGTTCCCGGTACCAGAGAAAAACCAAAAAAAAAAATTTGTTACTCATAGTACAAGATACCAGCATTTAATTGTCCGGACAGTATTAACACCAAACTTTTTTTCAATGAACTAAGAGAAATTAGTGGTATAACTATCTTGGATAGATAGATATAAATATAGATAGATAGATAGATAGATTGGTTTTTGATTTTTTTTGTTTGTTTATTTTTTGTGTGTGTGTTTTGCTTTCAGGGAAGTTTCTTAAGATGAGCTTTGGCCCAGTGCTTTTAGATGTACTTAGTACTTTATATGTAGTGGTATTTTTGGTTCTTTGCTTATTAAGTACATTTTATTTTTTCTACAGAATTCTTAAAATAACTCTCAAGTATTCTACTTATCATTTGTTATCTTAACTCACAGATACACTATGAAGCTAAAGAATTACTTGGCACCAGATGCTACAGCAGCAGATAAAAGACTTACAGTGCTTTGGTGAGTATGTGTATTCTAGCCTCTGCTCAGTAACAGGCAGTTCCCTGATAAATTGTGCTGAGTGTAGCCCATGAATCAGCTTTCTATAACCCTGTCACAAACCTGTTTTTAAAGAGGCAAGCAGAAAATAACTTAAGATTCTTACTGAAAGATTATGGTTGTTGTCAGTTTGTCTCTTTGATCCATTGCTGTTTAATGAAAGCCTTGGTAGGGTGGGACTACTATTGGAACTCTTCATTGGCTTAAAGTGATCACTGTGTGAGCTCTTCTTTTGGAACCTTCCCTCCACTCACGTATATCTGTTTTTCTTAGGAGAAAAAGATTGTGATCTGTTTGCTTTGTCCGTAGCCAGGGCGGTATTATCGTTTTACTTATTTTAGTTTACCTGGCACTTTACCTGGGTATATATCTGTGAATTAATCCGACATGGTCCTGTTCATCATGGAGTTTATAGTCTAGTTTGAGGAGACAGAAATTAATCAAATAACTACACAAGTATATGAGATAAGTACTTTGAAAGAAAAGTCTATATTAGAAGAATAAAGATGAGACCTATCCCTAGGTAGAAAGAGCAGCGTATTAAAGGACTACAGGATGGGAAGGAATAGGAAACTAAAAAGAACTAGTAAGAAGTCAACATGACTGGGTAGGTAGGCAGGGGTGATCATGAGGGGCTTTGAATAAACTGTGTTCCGTCAGAGTTGTAATGTTCATAGTTTTGTTTCCTAATTTTTAGAGTATTTATAGTTTGCTCTAGAGACTATCCCTTAGCAATTTTTTAAATGCCTATGTTACTGTGGTGTATTGGTATCCTGTAGGTAAGGTTTTGATTTGTGAATGTCAACTAATGGGAGGTTAACCTTTGGTTTTTTCACCATGTCCCTTCCATGTGGTGGATACAATGAGAACACACCTTTTGGTTATGTCAAAGGCTTAGTGTTGGTGACACTGTGCTGAGGTGCTCTTACGTTCAGTCTTACACTCTGGCAAGAGCCAGTCCTCTACTCTTGCATGGTGCTAAGGTTGTCTGTGCAGTTGTGGCCAGAGTCTGCTGTCCCGGTAAATAAGCTGCGTTTTCCATTGGCTAGCCTGAGATGCCAGTCTTTGCTGTACCTGAGGCTATTCAAACTGAAGAAGGAAAATGCTCTGAAGTACTCAAAGACACTGACAGAGCACCTGAAAGTAAGTATGCAAAAAAGGAGGATCCAGTTCCCAAGAGATACTTTGTGAAGTCTCCCATTCCTACCCTAGAAGTGGTCTCACATAGAGGTAAGACACAGGAGGGAAGGAGCTGCTGTTTCAGAACTCGCAAATGTGTTTTGGATTTCTTGGGAAAGTTTTTAAATTTGTGTGCGTGTGTGTGTGTGTATGAATATGATTGTAGAACTTATGTAATGGTATACAGCAGCCATATTTATCTTTGAAACTGTCTTTTATTTTCAGTACCATGCTTCTTTAGACCATTACTTTAGTTTTCTAAAACATTTCCTCATGTTATTTTTTCAGGCCAGCACCACATAAATCCTCCTAAAAGTCTGCTCTGATCGTGACTTGGGAGGCCCTCAGTAGTTCACTGTTGTCCTTAGGATTAGTAGGTCTGTCCTGCTTACCCAAGCCTAGTAGGACTTTAAGGTTTTTCTCTCTCTTATTCCTTGTTTAAAAATCTTTAGGCAAACTGTGAGTCACATACATTCTCTTTCCTGCTGCCTCTTTGTACGTAGTGTGACTCACCTCTCTATGTCATTTCCCCCTTTGTCTGTGTTACTCATTCTTCCCTTGCTGCTTTGTGCAATCTTCTAGGACATGCCAGTTCTCACTGAATAACATCTTTCAGTTTTGCAGAGACACACACATACACACATTTTTTTTTTTTTCCCCCTCCGGTACCGGGAACCGAACTCACGACCTTGCACTTGCCAGGCAGGCGCTTTGCCGCTGAGCTAAATCCCCAGCCCCACATACACACATTTTAGTGTCTTCAATTGCTAGAGCTTCTTAAGATCAGCTCTGGCCCAGTACTTTTAGATAAATTTAGTATTTCATAAGTAGTGATTTTTTTGTTTTTTATTAAATATATATGTATTTTTTTTTCTACAGAATTCTTACAATAATTCTCAAGCACCATCCCCTGGCTTAGGAAGGTAGGTTAAATTTTATTCTGTAAAGTGTTATTTGCAGCAAGTGTGATGGCACATACCTGTATTCCCAGCACTTTTGAAAGCTGAGATAGGATTGCAAGTTCGAGCCCAGAGTGGGCAAGTTCGGTGAGACCCTTTGACTCAAAAACGAGTTGGAAATGTAGCTCAGTGGGAAGGCCCTGAGTTAAAACTCCAGTACTACATAGACAAAATAATCATTTGTAGCAGGCTTATTTACAATGGCTAGAGATCTACTCTCCAAAAACAGAAAAATGGAAGCTACTTTTTTTATAAATTAATGTTTAGTAAAGTACTGTATTCATTCATTCTTCATTTGTTGGTTCTGGTGATTAAACCCAGGCAAGACCTTGTATATACCAAGCATATTGTTCTACACTGAGGTACATCCTCCCTAAATATTTTTAAAAGTTTTTCTTCCTGATTTGTGAATGAAAAGTATAAATAAATATAGTCATAGAATGATTAGAGATGAGACATTTTACCTGCAGATACTTGAATTTTCTTTCTTTTTTTGGTTCCAGGAGTCAAACTCAGGACCTTGTGCTTGCAGGCAGGCACTGTGCCACTGAGCTATATCCCTGACCCCAGATACTTGAATTTCTAACACTTTAGCCCTTCTCAGTTTCATTTCTGTAGTTACTTGGGTTTATTACAGTGGAGTTTACTTAGGTTTGGTATTGCCAGAATTTAGTGCATGATTATTATGCCTTTCCTCTTTCTCACATATATCACTCATCCCAGCCACACTCAAAGGAGGCAAAAGACCATGAAACCTTTTTATTTTATAAGATTATCTGTTCGTTTATTTTGTTTATATGAATTGACATTCAGTCTTTGCCTTATTTATATTTTTCTAACCAAATTTATAATTCTAAAAGTACAGTTAAAAATATAAACAAGTAAGTGGTATAGTGATGCATGCCTGTAATCCCAGCACTTGGGAGACTGAGGCAGGAGGATCACTGCAAGTTCTAGGCCAGCCTAGGGTACATAGTGAGTTCAAGGCCAGTATGAGGTACATAGCAAGACCCTATCTCAAAAACATACAAAAAACCCAAAATCATAGTGAGTTTCACAGCCAGCCTGAACTGCATACTGAAACCCTGTCTCAAAAAGACAAAAGCCAAAAAAAAAAAAAAAAAAAGACAAAAGCCCCCCCAATACGCACATGCACATGCACACACACACACTGTCTCTCTCACAAGTAGATTTCTCTCCCCAACTTTTGTTTGGTTTTCCTTTTTTTAGTGTTGCAGTCATAATTTTGGGCAGTTTCACAAATTTTAGTACAACTGAAATGAACTGAAAGATTTTAATGTATTGAGAAATATTTAGTTGGCAAGAAGCTTGAGGTGATTGCAGTTGATTGAGGGAGCTGTACATTTTTGTTCATTTTCAGTAACTTGGTTAAATTAGGAATTTGCTGGAAATGATGGAACTCAAAAAATGTTCTCACGTACTACCAGAGTTTGGAGGGTTGTGAATTCCATCCACCCTTCTACAGAATGATCTGGAAAATATGTAATTACGTGCCTAAATAGGTGGAAAGTTTGTTGAACTAAAGAGATCAAGCCTTGAAGATTTGAACTGCTGCTAATACAGCTTTGGGACTTCCTCAGTTATCTCCCATATCTTTTTCTGTTGCCATTAATTAAGACAGAAGAACTAAATAACATAATTCACAATGACCTTTGGTACACTGATACCTCAGTTTATGAACTTAATTCTTTCCATAACTCTGGTTTCAAACTGAACTGGACAAGAACCAATCAAATTCAGTGATTAGGTTCAATGTTGGCCTTATGAGGAAATTTGATTTGGTTCTCATCCAGTTCAGTTTGTGCCCAGAATTGTGGAACGAATTGGGTTCGTGAGCCGAGGCACCATTGTACTTAATTAGAAGAAATTGTACTTTTCTGGGAACCCGTCTAATCTAAAAAAATCTTTAAATTTTAAAAGCTTTCATCTTAAAAAAAAAAGAAAAAGCTTTCATCTAGGAAGAGCCAGTGGTATGTCAACTTCATAGTATTATGTTTATGTGAACTAGCTTCCTGTTTTCTCTTATTTGTAGCAAAGCTGTTGGGATGCCTTCCCCTGTGTCTCCAAAGCTGTCACCAGGCAATTCAGGAAATTATTCTTCTGGGGGCAGTAGTTCAGCAAGTGGTTCTTCAGTGACCATTCCACAGAAGATCCACCAGATGGCAGCCAGCTATGTTCAGGTTACATCCAACTTTCTCTATGCCACCGAAATTTGGGACCAAGCTGAGCAGCTTTCCAAAGAGCAAAAAGGTATGTAGCATTGTTGATAAACTTTGAAGCATGGAACTGTTAAAAGGAACTTTCAGGATTTAGTTAACTGGTGTATATCTAGTGATATCTCCCATGATCCTGGTGACACAAACTAAACAGTCTTAGTCTAAGAGAAGTATGTGTCATTTTTGATATACTAAATGCATTTCACACTTTAAAAGTAATATTGTAGCTGAGCCTAGTGGTGCATACCTGTAGTCTCAGCACTCAGGAGCCGAGGCAGGGGGATTGTTGCAAGTTGAGGCCAGCCTGGACTATGTAGCGAGATCCTGTCTCCAAAAAAAAAAAAAGTCAGTATGTTATACTGTGGGATGGTTCATATTTTTTTTTTTTTTTCTTCCAGTACCGGGAATTGAACTCACGACCTTGCGCTTGTCGGGCAGGCGCTGTGCTGCTGAGCTAAATCCCTAGCCCTGGGATGGTTAATATTTAACTATAAAAATAAGATTACATTTAGATGTCTTATTCATTTGAGATGATTAACTGGATTTTTAGATTTCTTAGCTTTCCTTAAAATTAGGTTGAGACATTTCATCTTAAAAATTTATTATTGCCTAAACTCAGAACATTGAAAATTATAAAAATATTTAAAGCTCTTAGGGGAAAGTACTAAATGAACACTAGTTTATTATATTAGCTTTTATTTGCAAATATAAGTGCATAGCATTTATTCAGTTTGCAAAGAAATACTAGAATAACCAGTCAGTGTCATTTTATCACGTAGTACTTAAATACAGTATGATCAGGCAGTCAGATGTAAATGAAAGATTCCTTTCCTATTCGGAAAGAAGAGTAATGGTGAGAAACAGGTAGAAGAGAATCCTAACATTTAGCTTTTATGTTCTCTCATACCTAGTCTATCATCCAGTTTCCCTTATCATCTCAAACATCCATTTTTATTTTTTTAAAACCGTCATATTTATTTCAAACGATCTAAGCAAGCTTTATACATACATTTCATTGCTAAGGCTCTTTAAGTATCTCCCCTCCACTTTTCTTCTTTTCTTTTTGGAGACATGCTGTTGATGATGAGGAGAAACTGGGTCATAGAATGTTTTATTTTGGATTGGACTGATTACTTAAGATATCATTTAATTTGTTCTGTCTCTTATTTTCTCTATACTGATAGTTACATATTGGGGATTAATTAGATTCAAGCACAGTTGGTTTGTCTGTGTGTGTTTCCTCTTTTTTTATGGATTGAACCCAGGGCATCGAACTTTATGGGCAAACGCCCTTCCCCTGACCTATACCCCCAGCCCTCAAGTGTTTTAAATAAGAATACTCTGTAGGGGGGCTCGGGATTTAGCTCAGCGGCAAAAGCGCCTGCCTGACAAGCTCAAGGTTGTGAGTTAGGTTGCCGGTACCGGAGAAAAACCAAAACCAAAAAAAATAAAAATAAAAATAAAAAGAATACTCTGTAGGCCAGTGATAGTGAACCTTTTAGAGACCAAGTGCCCAGACTGTAACCCAAAACCCACTTATTTATTGCAAAGTGCCAAATTAAACCTAAATACTGAGTTTAGAAAAACAAGTTATCTAGGCTGCTGGAGTGACGTGGTTCGTGTACCTACAGAAGGGCTCTGTGTGCCTGCAGTGGCACACATCCCGCAGGTTCACCACCACTGACACAGGCAGTGTGCTAGATTTACTAATGCTCCATATTAGGATGCATGTAATAATTACCCTTTCTGTAATCAGTCTGGTTAGTAGTTATTCAGGTGATGTCAGTCTGATCACTCTGATGTAGAATTCTCTATTTAACTTACGCTTGTGACATTTGTTGATGATCATTGCCTAGGTCCATGATTGTACTAGCTCCACTTCACCCTCCCGCTCTTCTTAGTGGTACCAGGCATTGAAACCCTAGGGCCTTGTGTGTATTAGGCAAGTATTCTGTTACTGAGCTACATCCCCAGCTCTCATTAGTAATTTTGTATTCTCACATTCCTTTTGCATTTATTAGCTAGAATTCTGTAAAGATGAGCCTTCCCTTAAGTGTTTGGTTACTCTCTGCCCTGTTTAAATAGCATGGTATCTTAAAAACTCTTTTTTCTCTGCATGTCTAAAAACACTCAATGTCTAGTCTTACACCCTTTTTTCTGCTCCCATAATTACATTGGACTCAAAGCCTAGGACATTGTTCTCCCTCCCAATTTCCCTCACATGCAGCCTTTATTTGTTCACATAGGAAGCATCCTTTCATTTATATCCCTTGAATTTTTAAACTACTGTGTGAAAATAAGGGTTTTATCACTGATACACGACATACAATTACAGCAGAAAGGTTGAGTGCAGACTGTCATAATCATCTAACCTCACAAGGGCTATTATGGGAAACATGCAAGGAATATCTTCCTTGGGGCTAGGGATTTAGCTCAGCGGCACAGCGCCTGCCTGGCAAGGGCGTCATGAGTTTGATTCCCGGTACCAGAAAAAGAAAAAGAAAAAAAAAAACAAAGAATATCTTCCTCAATACTCGGTTAGTGTGTGCTTTTATGGTAATAAAAATGAGCAAAATTTTTAAAAGGAGTGTCTTCTGTTTTGTGCCATTTACTTCTTACACAGAAACTGTATAAAGAGAATGTTTTGAGTAATCAAATAGGCACTGTGTATGTGTGTGGCACTATTTATCCATTCTGATACATAATAACAGTTTATGAATATCATCAGTGGTATTCTGCATGTACATATAACACTTAATTTCAGACTGCATTTTCTAAAATGTGGCATGATTTCAGGAACAACATAACTTGAGAGACAATGGGGATGCGTTTTCTGAGATTTACCATTTTAGTGTGGGAGGTTTTTTACTTCATACGAATGCTGTTTTGTAGTCTAGACTCAATTTTAAACAGAAGTTCGAAAGAGTGTGCATTATTTAATGAATGTTTTTGGTTTTCTAGAATTCTTTGCTGAACTGGATAAAGTAATGGGCCCTCTCATCTTTAATGCAAGCATCATGACAGATCTAGCTCGTTACACCCGGCAGGGACTGCACTGGCTTCGCCAGGATGCCAAGTTGGTATCTTGAACTGAACACATTCTCGTTGCCTCTGATTTTCTCCACAACACTGTGTCACATCACAAAGGAAAACTGCCATAACATGTCACCCAGTCAACACTAAGAGTGAGGAATGAGTTTCTCCTCCTTGGTTCATGTGTTGTTTATAACCCAAAGCTATTGTATCAGTTGACCCCTTCAATATTCCCAATGTGAAAAATTATTTAAACGCTAAATGTTAAATGTTATTTAAATGTTAAATCTGCAGCACATTGATAAAATGATGTTGTAATCTATAATATGATTGAATTCCAGTTGCAGTTTGTAACTAACCAAGTAAAATTCTATTTATTTTAATTTTTTTAGGTTCCCAGATTGGGGCTTGTTTAAAACTTAGTTATTTCTGCTTATAAATTTACTCTGTTGAATATTTAGCATAAACATAATGTAGGCATTTTTATTTATATATTTTGGGAGCTTCATTACCTAATTTTTTTTGTGGTAGCTCTTCTGTGAGTAAATAGGGATATGTTCTTTCTATCTCTACTACCTGATATTATTTCAAATCTTAGCGACAGTTTTATTATTGTAATATTTATACTTAGTACTAAGCATTCTTCTACACATAAGAAATCATTTAAATAGGAGAAGATGACATTCGACATGGATGTAAAAAAAATGAAATGTGTCTGATTCGGTATGCATTATTTCAAAACTGTGAATGTGTGTTAACACTATAACAATCACAAGGTGACTATAACTTGCATTTAATGCATTACAAAAGAGACCAGGCAGACATTCTAGGAGAAGCATATCATTTTGAAGGGTTTCATAAAAAGGACAATCTTAATATTTCATGGAATTTATTAAAACTGGTCTTCTTGATGCTAATCATTTGACACTTAATTGAAGTGCAGAGTAAGTTACTCTTGAAAAAGGATGATTTATCTCCTAAGGGTTCCTGCCTACATCTCTTCAGTTAATAATGTTCAAATGTTAAAATCTCTTTGGAGAATTTTCCCCCCATACTTGCTTGTGATGCTCTGATATGAGCATGCAGTGGCTGATATTGTTGGTGTGTGTGGTTTTGCTATACAACTTACAGTGCTAATGCCTGATGTAGAGATGATGAATTTCTCCATTTTAAAGACCCCCATTAATGGTGTATGTTTCTATAGGATTGGAATATTCACACAGAAAAGTACTAACTTGGTTCAGTGTGAGCTCCTGGAAAGGGGAGGAGAGCAGTGATAGAGCTTAAGAAGCCAGCTCCATAAGAATTGTATATCAGAGCACCCTTCCCTACAAGATGCATAAAGGAGTCAAGGGGGAGAAATGCACCCTCAGTACTTTGTTTTGAGTGCCCCTATCATGTCTGGTGTGCCTTAAATCTTACCTTTAAATGAAGACTCTGTGGATTGTTTACAGATAAAATTTAACACTAGGACCAGATTGTCCTTTACATTAATAATAAATTTTCTTTCATTTTAAATCTCCCTTTAGGGTCACATAAGGATTAATCATTTTTTAAAAGTTAATGCTTTTAAAAAGTTAGACATGACTTAGTCTAATTGGGTAATGCTGCTTCAAAAGAAATAGCTTGTCTTCTTATTCCAAAACTGAATCTATCCAGTTAGGAAAAACGATTGCCCTACTCTATTTGTAGATGATTGCTGAGGCTTAAAACCAGAAAGGGGAAAGAAGGAACAGATCTCCAGGTCCAGTGGTGCAGTGAATCCTCTGCTTGAGTCTGTTACACTTAACTTGTGAAGCCGGTGAACTCTCACTGTCCTGCGGCTTCATGTCTGTAGAGTTCTAATGGTTTTGTGCCTCAAGTTTTTGTTACATACCATTGAAGACTGAGGTCTTCAAATTATGTAGAATTTAACCTTTTTCTCTTGGAGAAATTGACTCTGATAGCTTTTAATTTAATCTTAGTGTGTTCTAGGAACAGTTTTCTTTAAGAGGACAATTCCTCAGCAGTTATGATAGTTCTTTAGTAGAAATAATGGTTAATCAAGTATATATATGTCCTGTCCTTCTCTGACTTCTGTGACTCTGATTCCTTAATTTGCAGCTAACAGCAGCCATCAGGGTACCTCTGAGTTCCAGTGCATTTTGTCTCTGTGTCTTGAAAGGGAGCAGGAACATTTCTGGGGTTACACTGATGTTTTCTTAAAGCAGAGTTTCCTATGTGTTTATGGTGCTGCTGTAAGATATTGCCTCTTAAAAACCGTGTTAATTTTTGTAGAATGAATTTTTGAAGCTTTTCTTTGTGGAGAGTTTTTCCTACAAGGTAGTAATGGGGAATGGATCAAAATCCAGTCCTGAATAATTGAATTTTCAGATATACCATGGTCTGTAGAACTACCACTCCCCTCTCTGTCTTATCAGATGCTCTCTGTGTCATCTTGTCCGCACACACTTTGAACTCCTGTACAGGTGACCATCCCTCCCTCAGTCGGTGTCTTCAGTGTTTTGTAACATTGCAAACTGAATTTGACAGGTGGCTAAAACTTAGTCTGAAACTTGTACTTAATGTACAGTTTATGGAAATAGCAACTGTTGAAAAAAATTACTCAATTGACTGCTCTTTAAGACCATCCTTGTATTCCAGGAGGCAGCAGGCTTCCCCACTGGACTCTTTCCAGGCAACCAGCATACCAGTTGCGTCAGATGAAGCTGTCAGAGTAGTCTTGCCCAGGCTTGGCTGGGCCACGGTGAGCACTGCCTGCCAGTGATTCAGGTTTCTATGGCCTGACCCAGGCTCCCGTCTGGCTGGAGAGCATCCAGCCCTTTCCCTGCCTCAGTGCCACCTTTTTCTGGGCAAGGAACCAAGAAGTAAACTTTATAAGCAGTGAACACTTAAGATAAATTTACAGCTATAGCTGCTGAAGAATGGAGAAAACTGAGCACCACTTCTTAATTAAGAATTGGAGAATTCTTAATTGTCCAGTATAAAAGCAGTTTAGATTAAGGTGTGCACGTGCCTACACATGCCTGTGTTTCTAGGGAGCTCTTGCACTGGGTTTACATAGGCATCTGGGCTGCACTTTGAATGATACACTTGTGCTTTAGTAGGTTCACTGTTTTTAACTTGTTTGTTTCTTTTCACGAAAGGTTTTAATCAACTAGGACAGGAAGCATCATTTCGTATTTAACAGCAGAACCTTTGGAACATTAACTTTTAATGAATGCGCTTGCATTGTGAAGCAGGAGCCTACAAAGGCACCTATTTTAAATGAAAGTTCTGGCTTTGGAAGCCAGTACTTGGTGGAGTTTCAGAGCAGTCAGTGATGGTTTCAGTCAGTGATGCATAGCTGTGTAGAGGAAGGGTACTCTGTGCACTCTTCCAGGTATGAGAGTATGCAACTTTGGATCTTAAAATTCTGTACACATACACACTTTATATATATGTATGTATGTATGAAAACATGAAATTAGTTTGTCAAAAATGTGTGTTTAGTATTTTAGCTTAGTGCAACTATTTCCACATTATTTATTAAATTGATCTAAGACACTTTCTTGTTGATACCTTGAATAATAATGTTCAAGGGTGCAATGTGTATTCCTTTAGATTGTTAAAGCTTAATTACTATGATTTGTAGTAAATTAACTTTTAAAATATATTTGAGCCCTTCTGTAGTGTAATAGGGCTCTTACAGGGTGGGAAAGATTTTAATTTTGTGGTAGCTAATTGAACAAAATGACTTCATTTTGCATTTTGATTTATAGGAGTTTGCATCTGGGTCCCAGGAACATCTACTGGGGATGACTGCTTCAGGCAGATTGTGTTGATGCTTTAAAAAAGAAAACAACAATAAAACCTAAGTAACTTAGGGAGCCAGAACATTTCAAATCCACATAGGCTCCTGTGACTCATTCCCTAGATTAATATGGAACACAGATTTCATTTAACTTCATGTATCAGTGTGTTGGAGAGGCAGGCTTTTTTCCGGTAACAATATTGCACACCAAAGGTTGCTATTCAGTAAAATCAGTAGAAGAAATAATCATTGAGTGGCTTGGAATATGCAGGGACAAGAGACTAAATGAGTCATGTTTGTGAACGTACATACCACCTTTCACCCACTCGCTAGTGGAGAAATGCAATTCAGATTTCTGGACTCCAGAACCAAGCGAGCAAATGACAGGAAATAAATTGTAAAATTTGGTAAAGGGATGTTGGACCCTGTGGTTAATTAAAAAGAACTTAATTACCTTCAGAAAAGGGAATGGAAAGAATACCTAAATCCCTGTTTAAATGGAATTTAGTTATAGACTATGGGGTTCAAGTTAACTTTTCACCACGTCATAGATATTTAAAGTATCCTAAAATAGCCTAAGCAGTCATCACAGCAAGAAGTTGATTTTCGGAAATGTTAGCATGGACCTCTCCTTGCCACCATTGTTCAGCCAAGCATAAATTATCATTATTAAAGACAAAAACAAGTTCTTTAAATGAGTGTGGGAAAGCTCCCACCAAGAAATTCTGATAATACTTGGTTTTGACCTCCTGTGACTTCTGTGTGGGGTTCCTTTGCAGCTTTTAACCATTGGAATTTTCTACCTGTTAGGTTCCTCTCTCAAAAGCACCTATTTGGAAGCATTGCCTTTCAAATTGAGGCCATGATTATCCCTGTTGTGGAGTCAGTTGTTGCTGTTCAAGGAGTGTTGCCATTTCACAGCTGTACAAACCCCCTGGCGTGTCATTAATGTGAGTCAGCACTCGGCAGCACTGGGGTGGGAGTGGGGCTCACCAACAGAGCTGGCCCAGCCTCCGAGCCGGAAAATGCAGGCGCCACCGTGGGGGCCAGGTGTGGAGTTGGTAAGCACAGTTAGGAAAGTACTGTATCTAGCCTCCGTTCTGGATGATTTTAAGAAATTTTGTATATGGAGGATGGAAATGCTTATATATTTATTGAAAATCCTTTTATGTTATTTGAAAATTATTTGGTAAATAATTGCTATTTGGGGAGGGTTTTGGAGGGGAGGTAACGCTGTTGATAAATTATAAGCCTGTCAATTGTGCAGAAAGGTACTGTTAGTGACTAATAGGATGCCTTTGTTTTGTACATGACCCTAATCTTTGTTTGATATTTCTTTTATCCAAAATATTTAGGCATCTGACATTTTCAACCAAAATTGCAATTATATACTGTGATTTTTATTTGTTGCAATACATTAAAATTTCAGAGGTACTTTGGGGTTCAAAAGCTAGGATTTCTAAGTCAGTACAGTATGTGCATTTCACAAAATAAAGCTGTTAATGGTGAGCAAAGTATTATATACTAACTAGATTTTTCCACATCTGTATAGTATATTATATGTATTTTGTGGTATTGAGATTATAGAAAGTTTAGAGTGTCAAACGTGTTTAATGTGTATTTTTAAACAAATTTATGGCAATTAAAATATTTGGAGACAAGGGTATCACATTTCAATTTGTAAAAATCTTTTTAACTCTACTGTGTCATTAAGATGCTTTGTATAATGCCAAACCATAGCTGGAAAAACTAAGTTTAATAAATATCAAATAGATTTTCTGTATTAAAGTTTATGAACACTGTGCTCTTTACACTTCTTCAACTCTCACTTTGCCCTTTTCATGCAATTCTTGTTTTGTATTTTGGGGTCCAGTACTACTCTTTTAAGTCCGGTCCCACTAGTACAAGTCTCATTTTTCTAATTATAGAAATTCTGAATTTGCAGTCTATGAACGCTTGTGTGTAGATTACATTTGCCCTACTCCCTCAGACATCTCAGACTCTTTTTGGTATTCTGGGTGGCTTACACTTCTATTTTATTCAGCTAGATTTCAGTCCCCCTGTATGTTAAGAGTCTTCTAAACATGCACATCACCAGGTAGCAAGTGCCAGGCACCCATCTTCATCCCTCACTGAAAAGTTCTTTACGTGAAATGTAAGGGCCAGGATCCAGGGCAGCAACTTAGGAACTTGCCAAGGCTAATCACAAAGCTATTGTTAAACTTTTACCCTTTCCCTGTCATTGTGTTCCTGTAGAAAACCCTTGATGAAATGTTAACTCTCACCACACTTTCCAGATGGAGAAGCTATCACATCACTGTGTGGTGTATTTTTTTTTTTTCTTCTATAGTATGCAGTGAATCCTCCTTCAAGTTTGAATTTCAGACTGCCACAATTCGTTTGAGTTATTTAATAGTATTCATAGAAAAATAAACTCTAAACTGGTAATACGCACATATTAACATTCTAACAAAAAAAAATGGAGACCAATTTAAAGCATGCGTCTGTCTTTAAATATTAAAGCACAAGATTGCTTCACTTGTGTATCTCCAGGCAAAATGTCGTTAATCAATATTCCATAGAACGGAGCATTGTTGGAGGTGACCGTTGTGCATTCTTTCCCTGGTTTGTACATCATTCCTGGGCCACACTCAGGGAACAGCGTCTTTTTCTAGGGGGGAAAAAGATGTTTTGTAAGACCAGTTTCCAAGTGCCCAGGGCCATTTTTGCTACCTTTCCCTCCTCTGCATGGTCGCTGTCTGGACTCAGGAAAGGTACACCTTTTTTTTTTTTTTTTTTTGGTCTTTGGTTTTTCTCCGGTACCAGGAACCGAACTCACAACCTTGCGCTTGCCAGGCAGGCGCTTTGCCGCTGAGCTAAATCCCCAGCCCGGTACACCTTTTTGTGTAGTACCTCACTGGCTCTTGGCTCTGAGGATTCTCCTCCGCAGAGCTTGTGGCCTCTGCCCAGACACCACACCTCCATCCCAGGTTCATTCTTCTGTTTCCTGCTCTTGTCTGCCCAGTTTCCCAGGGCTCTGGCTCAGCCCTGCACCCAGGTTGGTAGCTTACCTGCATAACCTTGTGATACACTCGAAATCATCCCGGCAGGAGGCTCCAATGGGCCTGAGGGAAACTCCTCTCCAAAATGGGGTCATTCTTCGTGGCCTTTTCTTTGCCGAGCTCAGTTCTGGTATAGGGTAGCCATCTATCTGTAGAGCAAAGACAGAGTCACCTCAGGTGTGGAAGAAATGGTACCCTGCTGCACACCTTCACAGAAGGATCATTCTCCGGTTCTGTAGGCTCAGAACAGGAACCGCTCCTCAGGACTGGGTTTGTCTCTCTAGGTCCACTTGAATTCCAGTGCCACTACCAGTCCACAGACACACGTGCGTCTCCTTCCTTACCTGGCCCAGCAGCAACAGGCAGATCATGAGCACTGCAAGGAGTTTGAGGTGCCACATCTTGGCAGAGGACGTTGGAGCCTGGAAGCCAAGCACGGTTACCGCTTCCTTTTATAGACTGACATCTGCCTTTCTCGTGGTTGCCAGATGAGAGGGGGCAAAGTTTGTATTTTGTAATCAAGATCAATTTAATCGAGTTAATGTCTACCAGAGGAATGTGCTCAAGGGCTACTTTCAGGCACATTGTATTTACTGATCCTTCATCTGGACTTTGAGTGATTGTGTTGCTGACCTGGACCTTTTTACCCATTGTATCAAAAGTCCACATTGCCCTTCCTTTCCTTTGGGAGCCACGTGAACCCCGAGGGGGAGACTGGGAGCCTAGCCACATTCTGTTCTAAAATAGCACACTGTGGGTGTAGCCCAGTGGTAGCGCGTGTACTAAACGTGTGAGAACCTGGGTTGAATTCCCAGCACATGTACGCATGTACACGCACCCTAAAATAGCTCAGGGCAGTCCTTACTGTCAAGACACAGTTCTAACAGTGAAGTCCTAAGAAATGCTGAGCTTTTTCTTGCTAGGAGCACTGATCTGTTGTGTTCAGTGTGGCCCTTAAATCCCTTCTGAGGGAGCAGATGTAAGCAAGATTCCCATCGGCATAGATGGGCCATCACCTGGCGGTCTGTACCAGCTCGTAACATGACAACCCAGTTAAGGTAAATTCGAAAGTACAGCCTCCCCAGTGCTTCCCAGGAGAAGAGCAATCAACAGGGGCCCGAGCCATATGGGCCCGTAGGTGAACTGATTGTAGGTTGTGGACGTAAGTGGGGAGTTAACCAGAGCTGCTACATGGGAGAAGTTGGCAAGTGACAGGATTCAATAATGGGCTTTATACCCAGTAGTTGAGTGAAGGCTTGGCAGAGTATTTTCTTCCAGCAGACAAGCGTAGGGGCTGCAATAACTCCAAAGTCCAAAACATCTACTGGCTTTAGTAGGAATCTGTAGATTTTTAGATCAAGAGGACATGTATGTAGACCGGGAGTTGCTGGATGTGGTGCTGGACATGGTGTCGCACTCCTGTAATCCTCATACTTAGGAGGCTGAGGCAAAAGGCTCACTGTGTATGAGGCCAGCCTGAACTACATAGCAGGACCTTGTCTCAAACCATAAGTAGCGTGAGTACTAATTAAATGACATCATAATCATCACCAGTCCTATGACCAAGCAAATAAAAGGTTCTTGCCAAGGTGAAATACGGTGATATGAAGGACCTCAAAGCTGGCACTGGGTGGGATGTGATTCCACAAATCTGCCTATCTGGGTTCCAGTCCTCTTGATACCGCGGAGCTTGGTTGGAAGGAAGAGGACACGGTGGCTTGGACTTTAGAATCATTGAGAAGTAGATAGGTCTACCAAACCCAGCTCACCAGTCTTACAAATTGAAGACTAGTTAGCTGCTCCCTTCATCCTTGAGGTTGCTACAAAATGAACCCAGAAAGGGCACTAACCAGGAACTTCTGCAGGGTCGAGGGGAAACTCTGTGGTCACTCAGTGAGCATTGAGTAAGAGCACACATCTGATGAGTTAAGCAAAAGGCTGAACAGTGTGATGTCCCAGAACCAGTTGGGTCTGTGGGCTCAGTGCCAGCCTCCCTTTCAGCAGCCTGCAGTGACATGGAACCCATCCAAAAGATGACTCCTGTAAGTGGGCAGGGGAGGAGGGGTTTGGAGGGTAGGCAAGGGGGGAAAATAATCAAGTTGTAGCGTGTACAGGTACAGATATCTCTGATGAATGTGATCATTATGTATACCCAAAATGTACCAGTAAAATCTGATTTTTTAAAGAGCGTAAATCGGGGGAAAAAACGATGAGTCCACTCATCCTGCATTCTGCCTTCCTATATTCCAAGCAGAATCAGACCTGTGTTAATTTCTGAGTCAATACCACAGCAAGGAAAGAGGAAAGCCCTCGCCCCCTGTGCATGAGGAAAAGGACCACGCATCCCAAGACACTCGTCACATACGCTTTCTAGAAGGAGCCTCTGCTAGCGCAAGTATCTCAACATCTACACAAACTCTGTCGTTGTAAATAAAGAGCAAAAATCAAACTTTGAGAAGCAGAGCAGCATGCAGGTGTTAGATGGCTAATTGGACAGCCCTTGAGCGTAGCTATCCCATCACTTGATTGTGAAAACCTACTCCTAAAATTTAAGAAATACTTTAAAGTTCATGGGCTCTCTGCAATCAAATATTTTGCTGAATAAATAAATAGTTACTTCTTTCTCCAAGAAAAAGGCCTCAGCAGCCTCAGCCATAAGAAAGAATGCTTGCTTGGCTGGGAGGGAGGCGCCTCAGGTCTCCATAGTACACCCAGCCGGCTTTTGTCTCTGTTTCACTCAGTAAGATGGGAGTAGATCTCAGGTCTCTCCAGTACTGGCGTTTGGGGGTCCAGATGATTAATTTACAAGAAAATGAGACCAACTTGATAGCGGAGACGGTCACTGGATACAGCTTGGACTTTCTGCTTCTGAGGTATGTACCTAGGATGAAATGGGAGAGAGAGGGAGCGCAGCTGTGTGAACTACATTCCAGGTGGAGAGATCGTTAGGACTTGGCAGTAACTGGAAACTTTTGTTATCCCTGAGCAAGAGGTGCCTAGTAAAAGATGAACAGCTTGTAAATGGAAAAACTTCCAGGTAAGAATCAACAGAAGATCAAAGTGCATTTTTTTGGTGGCTGGTGCTGACTTGTGGGCCTGCACATTGGGCAGTTTGTTGGGAGACTATAGCCCATAAAAACCCCATGAGGGTGGAGGTCTTTGGGGAAAGACGGATTACATGGAAGAAGTGGTTGTGCCACAGCCAGTGAAAAAAAGCCACACTTAAGGCCGGGGGCTCCGGGTTTAAGGATGGTTAGCACTGAGGCCCCCTGCCCGCCGTTTGAAAGCTTTACTCAAGTTCTCTGCAGATTTTGACAAATACAAGGGCTCTACGAAATGATCCCCCGTCTCATGTGTTGTATCGGAGCTCCAAGCTACAACACACCATATTGCATACCACCACCGCCTCGGCGCCTCGGTGGAAAGGTGAGATCCATGGTCCCCCCGTCAGAAGCCCCTTGGCAAGAGACAGACCTAGAGCAGACTGTTTTAGCCACTAACAGAAATTTAGTACATCAAAGGGTTTATACCGATCCAGGCTGCCTCAGTAGAGTGCTCCTGGGATAAGAAGAGATTCACACCAACAGGCTCGGTATCTGGTAAGTTTGGTTCTTTTGAGCTGGTAACTCCAGAGGAGTCCACTACAGGTGTATGCAACACCAGGAACATGGAAGAGAGTGGCTCTGTCCTCTGGGAAGCTTGGGGCAGAATGAGAAGCAGGACCTTAACCACCTGTCCAGCAGTGGTCTTCCCCTGGCCTGGGAAGCTACCTCAGTAATGCAGGATAAGACTGGGTGCATTTATACTGCCTTTGCACCCAGCGCTTTCATCAGGTTCCCAAAGGAGTTTATGACCCAAACATGTTGCAACACCTGGCAACAAGACCCGGGAATAAATCTGGACAAAGAGCTAAATAGGAAAATGACCTGTCTGGGCGCAAGACACCCTCAGATATCTGCCCTGTTAACCTGTATCACCTTACCAGACACAAACATCACTTCATCACAACCTAAGGACTTTAGTGTTTCTGTTGTATAGATGAGAAATTTAAGGTTCAATAATACAGGTTTCTTGCCTGTATCAGAGTAAGGAAGTCACAATTTAAAGGTTTGGGCCAGATTGTCAGTCATAGCCACTCCCATATCCTACCTATTGCATTGGGTCAATGCAATTTGTCTTGGGTTTTTTGCTGAAAATCATTTTGGTTCTTAAAAGCAATAGCAATAATTATTAAAAGTAAAGATAGCCTGAGCCAGAAACTCAGCTAGACTGCGAAAGTTGTAGGTAGCAGGAAGTATCCTTGGACCTTTCTAAAAACAGCAGAGCCAGAGCACACAACTGCCAACCACACCTAACCATACTTCCCTATCCCATCTAGTAAGGGGGAAATGGCCCCTTTTTGACTGAAAGAGTAACTCAAAGGCTCTGGAGCAGGGCCAAACGTTTTTCAGGTGCCATATTTGGGGCTGAATGGTCCACAGCCATAGTATGTTGAGCCCTGCTGTATAGGTAAAGGAATCGCCTCATGCCCTCCTTTCATAGCTGACTTCTCAGGCTAAGGAGAGCCTGCACTGAAAGGCAACTTAAGTGTTAGCAACACACAGTGGGGGCTGGGAATAAAACTCAGCAGCACAAGCGCCTGCCTGGCAAGGGCAAGGCCCTGAGTTCAATTCCTGGCATAAAAAAAAAAACCACATACATTGGTCCTGGGCTCTCCCTTCACTGCTCTAAAGATGTGAGGCAAATTACTTAATCTGTTTCTTCATCCGCAAAATAGGAATACTGGTACTTGTTAACCTTAAAACTTTATTTGTATGTCTTAGAAGATACCCGACCCAGTAATTAGCACATAGTTACCAGGCTTTGCGGTTGTAATGGGAGCAGAGGGCCAAGAACAAACACTCCCCCTTCCCCAAAGCACAGCACCTAAACTGCTTTGCGAACTTTATAACCTACTTTCTTGTAGGTACAGGGCAAGGAGTAAGCCCGCTCCTTCATCAAAAGCCCACGTTAGGCAAACTGCTGAGGACTCAGGGTGAAGGGAGGCTGCATGAACTCGAGGATTGGCAGTCACACCAAGCATTCTCACAGAAACGCAGAGTCGCAGCGCGTGGCCCATAGGAAGTTTATTGTGTCTTTAAGAAACTACAACACGGACTCCTCTCCCGAAGAAGTATCTCTCAGAAGCAGCACTGTCACACGGAGGAGCCGCTCATTTGTCATTTTCATAGGCAGCTGGGTTCTTCCTCTTGGATTTCTCAAACTCCTGGGTCCCCCACGTGTAGATAAGGTAAGCCACTACAAATGCTTCAGAAGTCAAAAGCGAGAGAAAGCATACGTAAGACGCAGTCCTCAGCCCTCTCTCCTGCCCTCCTCATTCTCTCTGGCTTTACAGCCAGTACTTTTAAATTGCAGCAGCAAGAGGTCACGTTACAAACCCACTTAACAAGTGACCAAAACAAACCCGGCCGGGCGCGGCGGTGCACACTGTACTCCCAGCACGGCTGGGCCGGGGCAGCAGGGCTGCCGCCCGTTCAAGGCCAGCCTGAGCTGCACAAGAAAGGATCGACAGCTATCGTTACGGGAAGTGTACACTCTCCCAGGCACGGCGGCGCACGCCCGTAATCCCGGCCCTAGGGTGCCTGAGGCTGAGGCAGGAGGATCGCCACGAGTCTGCGGCCAGCCCGGCTACAGAGTGAGTTCAAGGCCGGCCTGAACGGCCCGGTGCGACGCTGTCTCGCGGGGTGCGCCGCGGCAGCTGGCACGTTCAGGATGCCGGGCCACGGGCAAGCGCTGTCCGCAGCACGGCCACCACGACACTCGGTCGCCGGTAAGCGGGTAACGATAACCTCACAGTGAGACGCTGCAGTCACCAAGCGACCTTAGCCCGCTCGCCTGGGCATCACGTGACCAGCGGCAGAGCCGGCGGCAGTGCTCCCGGACGCCCGCCCGGTCCCCGCGCCCGCCCGGGCACTCACGCGGCACCACGCGCAGAACGCAGGCCTGGGTGCGGCGCAGCACGTTGGGGATTCCCTTGCTGAAGTAGTTCGGGAAGGCGCGCTGCTCAAAGGGCGACAAGCTGTAGGTGATCACATGCCGCATCCGCGTCAGGTTCCCAAACTCGCGGCCCATGCTGGCGGCGACCCTGCAGTCAAACGTCGGAGGGCTGCGCTCAGCCTCGGGTCGCGCGACAGCCCGCGCGGGGCCCCCGCCCAGTGCCCGCCCGCACTCCTCCTGCTCCCCCAGCCCAGGTGCGCCCCCACCACCTCGAGACCCATTTGCGCACCGGGGTCACCTCGCCCTCCACCGACGCCGCGCCACCTGCTTTACGTCACTTCCGGTGGGACAGGAAGCCGCTTCCAGAAGCCGGAAGCCACTTCCGGGGGATACCATTTTCTGTGGACTCCAGGGGAGGACGTAATCCCCCACTTCTGAAGAGCAGTGGGCTGGCCGGTGGCGGGGTGGGCGGGGCCCGGGGGCTGCCTAGCGAAGCCCTGGGGTCGCCGGAAGCCCCTGGCCCCGGTGTGGCGGGCTCCTGTCTCCCTGCTCGGTCTAATCCCAGAAGCCTCAGGCTGGGAGGCGCGGGGCGCTGCAGGCGGGAAGAGAAAGGGGTCAGCCGCTCCCGGGCCCGCGAGGGGTCACGCTGTCTCGTCCGGTAGCTCGAGGGGGCTCGGCTCCTTCCAGGCCATCGGCGACCCAGTGCAGAATCAGGGCCCAAGACCCAGCGTTTCTCCTGGTAACCTGTGGCTTCAGGATGGAAGCCAGACGGCTCAAGCTCGGCCGCACACATCGACAGTGCCGGGCAGTGCGCACGCGGCGTGGGTGGGGCGGCCGGCGCTGCTTCCGCGGGATCGGGCCGCGGCGGGGTGTACAGGCTGCCCTAAAGCACGGGCTGCGGCTTGACCCTTGTCCGGGGCGCCTCCCCGCCAGGGCTGCGCGCGGGGTCGCGGAGGTTAACGGCATCGCTGGCCGCGGTCGTCCGGACTGACCTCTCCCTGAACCGTCTAGAGTGTTTTCTCACCCTCAGCTTTTGCAGCAGAGTTACTGCACGGTTTCCACCCTGTGTGAGCGCGGGTTGACTTTCTTCCAGCGGGTCGTCTCCCCGGGGCGGCGCTCGGTGGCATTCCTTTGGCTTTTCGTGCTGCTCCTTAGCCTCATTCTTCTAAAAAATATCTAGCCTGGTCTCAGCTCCAAGGCAGGAACACACATACTTACTTGTAACAGTGAAGGACAAAAATACTCCAGTGAACTCTCACCCCATCTGGGTCATTCATAAAAATAAAATATATATTTCACAGCGCCTGCAGACATCTCCAAACTTCAGCCAAAGCATGTGTAGGTAAATGTGCGAACCAAAGTAAAGACATCAAGATGATGTATTTTAAAATTAGTAAAGGCAATGTGTACCCCCACACACGCACTTTCTTTTCACCCTACTGGACTGGAGGTTCAACCCAGGGCCTCGGGCATGCTAGGTGGGGGCTGTACCACTGAGCTGCAGCCCCAGCCCACTTTTTCTTTCTTTCCTTTTTTTTTTTTGACACAGTGTTTTCCAAGACAGCCTCGAACTCACTGTATAGGCCAGCCTACCAGCCTCCTGCCTTAGCCTGCCGAGCTTTGGGATTCCAGACATAGGCCATCCTACCCAGCTTGGTGTCTTCTTTCAAAATATTTTGGGAGAAGCCGGGTGTAGTGGTACACGCCTGTAATCCCAGCACTGGGGAGGCTGAGGCAGGAGGATCGTTGTGAGTTCGAGACCAGCCAGGGCTATAAAGTGAAAAGACCAAAAAAAAAAAACAAAACAAAAAAAAACAAAATTGCAAAGTACAGTTGCAAAATGCCAAGGCATGCCCTATGCTAAGTCACCTGGGAGCACCAAGTTCTCTGCTCGCTGGAACTTCCGATGTGGATTGTGACTTTCTCTCACTCCAAAACAGTGCGCAGCGAATAATTATTGCAAGCACCTGGGAGCTGGACAGGTGGCCAGGACTGACAAGAGTGAATCTAATACCCTAAACTGCACACCAACAAATCTGAATACTTACGCTTTTCTACATGCCTTGGGAGTTTCAGAAAGCACCTAGGGGACATATTAAAAGTCCTAATTTCTCACTGGGCATGGTGCTACACGCCTGCAATCCCAGGACTCTCAAGGCTGAAGCAGGAGGAGGGAAGTATTTGAAGGCAGCCTGGGCTACATAGTGAGTTTAAGGTTATCCTGAACTACAGAGTGAGAACCTATCTCAAAAACAAAACAATCCTAATTTCTAAAAAAACAAGACAAAAAAACAAAAAAACTTTTAAGATAATCCTTGATTTTCTTAGACTCTCAGCTACATAGTCCATTAATGTAATAGTAACTTACTCCGTTTTAAGTACATGACCAAGAAAGAGGGAAAGTAAATAAACAGATAAAGCTGCGTCGAATAACAAATTGGAGAGCTAGGATGGTATCAGCTGATACGAACCTGATAAAAAGCATCCTCACCTAGGCACCCTCGAGTTCTGATTACAGAAGCGAGGCCGTCCACCCGCACACCTAAGAGTTATTGAGGAGCCCGCACGTGAAGGCCTCCTGGCCTTTAGGAAGAAGTGGGCGTGGGGAGATGTCCTCGCTGGCTCTCCCACGCCATGGCGCTTCCCCGCGGCTTTCTCCTTGGGTTTTACTGCTTTGCCTGGCTGAGTGCTCCTATTAATCTGGGTTCTTGGGCGTCTGGGGGAGAAGCTCAGAGTGCAGCGAGTGTCAAGTTGGAACCTGAAGCAGCGCCCCGGTCCTTGCTGCAGCCCGTAGACGGCGCTCACAGTTCTGGCCTCCTCCCGCCCTTTTTCAAGGTCCGGTCTGGCGGGCGCGGCGGAGCCCCTCCTCGGCTGCAGCCAGACTCCAGAGCCCTGCGCTACATGAAGAAGCTCTACAAGACGTACGCCACCAAGGAGGGGGTCCCCAAGCCCACCAGAAGCCACCTCTACAACACTGTCCGACTCTTCACCCCCCACTCCCCGCAGAAGTACGCTTCTGGAGGCCAGGTGACAGGTGTGTGGGAGCCGCTGGCTTAGCTGGCTGGAGGGGCCATAGAAGCGTCTTCCTTCCTGTTGCACAAAGCAATTGGGCTTTGCTTCTTGATTTTGTTTTCTCGGGTTTTTTTGGGGGGGAGGCGTGTTTGTTTCTGTTTTTTTTTTTTTTTTTTGGGGGGGGGCTTTGTTTTTCTTTGTTTGGATTTTTTTTGTTCGTTTCTGAGACAGGGTCTCGCTATGCAGTTCAGTCTGGCCTTGAGCTCACTTTGTAGCCCGGGCTGGTCTCAAACGAGCAACGACCCTCCTGCCTCAGCCTTCCGAGTGCTGGGGTTACAGGCGTGCACCACCACGCCTGGCTTTTTGCTTTGTTTTTGAGTCAGGGTCTCGCTATGTAGTTCTGCCTGGCCTTGAAACTCACTATGTATCCCAGGCTGGCCTCCAACTCACAGGGATCCTCCTGCCTCAGCCTCTCAAGAGCTAGGATGACAGGCGTGTGCCACCTTTGCTTCTTGAATTGCACTTTACTTTGCATACTATCTCATTGAAGCAAATGTGGTACTTGATCTGACTGTCCTACTGGGCTAATTTACTAGAATTTCAGACCTGAAAGGGACTTTTAAAGAAGGCATTGAGAGCCGGGCGTCGTGGCCCACGGCTATAATCCCAGCACTCAGGAGGCTGAGGCAGGAGGATCGTTGAGAGTTCCAGACCAGCCTGGGCTACAAAGTGAGCTCAAGGCCAGCCTCAACTGCATAGGGAGACCCTGTCTCAAAAAGAAGAAGAAAAAAAAAAAAAGGTGGCACTGAGAGCTGAGGAAAGTGCCGAAGAAGGCTAGCATCTATTTTTGTATTACCTAGCTGTTGAACATGTGCCTAGAACAACTCGTATGGTATGCTGCATCAAACAGGGTGTTTCCTCTTGTGCAGTGCTTTCCGTGAGAGGACAGCTTAAGTCCCCCTTGCTCCGGTAGGTCTTACAAGAACAGTGTGTGTAGCTCAGTGTTAGGGTTCATGATTCGCATGCTCGAGGCCCCGGTTTCAGTCCCAGCACGCCCCAGATCTGTCAGCCCACAATCAGAGCAGCGTGGGGTCTCGTGTGTGAGAGAAGTGATGCTTTAAAAAGCTGTACTTGGTAGGGATATAGCTCAGTGGCACCAGTGCCTATCTGGCAAGCACAAGGTCCTGAGTTCGAGTCCTTTCTTCTTTTGAGTTCGATTCCTGGTACCAAACAAAACAAAACAAAACTACTCAGGCTCATGACACGCGCCATTCTGACGGAACAGGACAGCGGTGCCTGTTTAGAACACATTCCCCTCCCCTAACGGGCTATTTTACGGGAGTGGCGGTAAAACCTCTATTTGTTTTCAGTCTCCAGGGTTCCAAATTAATGTGTATAGTCAAATGTTTTTAATGTCTTTTTTCACTGGGGCAAAGAATATCTTAACAAGCTTCGTGGGTATTTTTTTGTTTTTTTGTTTTTCGTTGTTTTGGGACAAGGTCTTGCTTTGTAATTCAGGCTAGCCTCAAACTCACTACGTAGGCCAGGCTGGCCTCGAACTCACAGCAATCCTCCTGCCTCAGCCTCCAGAGTTGGGGTCACAGGTGTGTGCCACCACGCCCAGCATGTGTTTTAAATTACTAGGAAGTTTTTTTTTTTTTCTTTGTATAGACTTGCCAAAACAAAAACACTACTTCCCTTACTGGCTTCCTATCCGAGCGAGCTGTTCAGACTTGGCCCTCTGGCCTTTACCCCACCATCAAGCCGCCGTGACTTTTCTAAGGAGCAGACCCAGGCCTGGGTGCCGGGAATTTGGCAGGACGTGCGTTGCCTGTGTGTTACCCTCCTCTCGCGGAAGTGAGGGGAAGGAGGTCACACGCTACACAATATCCCCGCCTTTTTGTGGCGCGGGCTGAGCGTGGGCAGGTGCGCGCTGGTCAAGCGCCCCCCGAAGCCCGGTGAGCCCCGCCCCCGCCCGGCCCGGCTTGCCCGCAGGACCGCGGCCGCGCGTGCGCACTGACTGCCCCCTCTCTCCGCAGGGGCCGCCCCCTCGGCGCCGCTGCGCTTCAGCTTGGGCCGCGTGGCTGCCGTGGAACGCCTGCTCAAGTCGGTCTTGCTCTACGCGGCCAGCGGCTCCCCTGGGGCGAGATGCGCGGGCAGCCTGACGGCCAGCGGGCCGCGCTCCTCCGGCCGGGCTCTCCCCGTCGGCGCCCGGCTACAGCTCGGAGACGACCGCCGCGGGCTTGAGCTCGACGTGACCCAGCTCCTGCAGCCCCTGGTGGCGGCCGGCACGCGCAGCATCCGCCTGTCCGTCAACGTCACGTGCGGGGGCGGGGCCGACCGGGCCGTGCGCGCGCCGCCCTCGCTGCTGCTCTACCTGAACGACACCAGCGC